GTAAGTGTTGCTATGTTTATTTGATTTAGAGCAAGGACGAAGCTTTGAATATGTTTAAGACATATAAAGCTAAAGTTGAAAATCAACTTGAGAAAAAAAAAAAAAATCAAAGCACTTAGATCTAATAGAGGAGGAGAGTATGAGTCTACTACCTTCTCATATTTTTGTGCACAACATGAAGTTATACATCAAACAACGACTCCATACACAGCACAACAAAATGGTGTTACCGAAAGAAAAAATAGAACATTCAAGGATATGATTTATTTCATGTTAAATAGTTCTGGGCTTCCACACAATTTGTGGGGTGAAGTTTTACTTACTGCAAATACCATATTGAATAAGGTTCCTCAAAAGAAGATTGATGAGTCACATTATGAACTATGGAAATGACATAAACCCACTTATAAAACCCTCAAAGTGCGGGGTTGCCTAGCAAAGGTGCAAGTTCTATTACCAAAAATAACAAAACTAGCCTAAAACTATTGATTGTGTATTCATTGGATAAGTAAACAATAGTGCTATTTATAGGTTCCTTGTTGTAAAATCTTTGATTTCTGACATTCATGTTAACATTATATTAGAATCAACAGATGCAGAATTCTTTAATGATATATTTCCTTACAAAGAAAAGAAATCTGGTTCTAATACAAAGAGAATTCATGATCATAGTCATGATGAAGCCTCTTCTTATGGTGTCCAAGAAAATGATGTAGAACCAAGAAGAGGAAAAAGAATCAAAGTTTCTAAAAACTTTGGACTAGATTTCATTACTTACTTGTCAGATAATGAACCTAGAACTTTTAAAGAAACAATGTCTTTTTCCAAGGCTCCTTTATGGAATGAAGCAATTAAAAGTGAAATGGAATCCGTTATGGAAGATAACACATGGGAATTGGTTGATTTACCTCCTAGTAGTAAAGCAATTGGTCATAAATGGATTTTCAAGAAGAAACTTAAGGCAGATGGAACCATTGACAAGTTCAAGGCACCTTTAGTAGCCAAAGGTTATCGCCAAAAGGAAGGGTTGGATTATTTCGACACTTATTCTCCAGTTTCTCACATAATGTCAATTAGGACAATGTTAATAGCAATTGCAACTGTATACAACTTTGATATACATCAAATGGATGTAAAAACATCATTTTTATATGGAGAACTGGATGAAGAAATATACATGAAACAACCTGAAGGGTTCGTGCTTAAAGGACAAGAAAGCAAAGTGTGCAAATTAGTTAAGTCATTATATGAACTTAAACAAGCACCAAAACAATGGCACGAGAAATTTGATCATACTTTGTTGACACATAGGTTCAAAATAAACAAATTTGATAAATGTGTCTACATCAAGAGTAATGATAAAACTTGGTTATTGTTTGCTTATATGTGGATGATATGCTCATAATGGGAACTGATAAAATGTAATAAACAAAACAAAGAAAATGTTGAATTCCAATTTTGAGATGAAAGACTTAGGTCAAGCCGATGTCATTAACAGAAATTTTGAAGGATATGTCCTTAGATAGTCCCATTATGAAGAAAAAAATATTACGAAGGTTTGGTCAATTTGACTGCAAACCTGTTGCAACTCCTTTTGATGCTAGATACAAGTTGGAGAAAAATAAAGTCGATGCCATATCTCAACTTGGATATTCTCAAGTAATTGAAAGTCTGATGTACTTGATGAATTCGACTAGGCTTGACTTAGCTTATGCAGTAAGTAGGCTTAGTAGATATGCAAGTAATATGGCGCAAGAGCATTGGGATGCTTTAGTAAAAGTGTTAAGGTATTTGAAAAATACACTTGACTACGGATAACACTACACAACGTATCCACCTATTGTAAAAGGCTTCAGTGATGCTAATTGGATTTCTGACACTACATAATCCAAGTCAACAAGTGGATATGTTTTTACTTTGGGAGGTGTAGCAATATCTTGGAAATCCTCTAAACATAAATGTGTAGCTCGTTCCATTATGGGGTCGAGTTTATAGCTTTAGACTTGGTTGGAGAAGAAGTCGAGTGGCTCAAACATTTTCTGGAGGATATTCTAGTGTGACCAAAGCCTATAATTGCTATATGTATACATTGTGACAGTATGGTCATGCAATCAAGGGCCAAAAGTCATGTATACAATAAAAAGTCACAACATATCAAGCGTCGGCATAATACTCTTAAGAAGTTGCTCTCCAATGGAATAATATCCATATATTATGTAAAGTCAAAGGAAAATGTAGCTGATCATTTGACAAAATGCCTACCAAGAGAGCAAATATTATTTACATCGAGGGAATGGGTCTCAAGCCAATTCAATGAATCGGACTAGGTGGAAACCTAACCTAGCTGATTGGAGATCCCATGATCTAGGTTCAATAGGCAAACTGGTTGAGTTTGATTCAAAAGTTGAACACACAACTTACCCATTCTTATGACAAAATGTGTGTTGTCTGTTGAAGTTCGAGGGGTTATGTTTTATACATTTAATGACATTAATATTTTGTTATCAAGAGGAATATGACAGACTATTTTTAATTAATGTCACCTATATAGGAGTAAATAGGGCCACATTTATGAGAATTGAAATGGCTAAATTCTCTAAAGCTTCTACAAAATCTAAGATTTGTTCAGGGCCAAAATGAAAACAACCTTATAAATTGACGTGTGGCAGACATTACATGTGTGTAGCATATTGTCTTAATTTACTACTGCGGTGAACAGTTTAAGATCTTCCACATCCACTGCGTCACCAAGTAAACCCGATATGTTTTCATTAGGGTAAGTTCAAGTCCAAAAGACACTTCACCCGATGCATATCAAGTCTATTCTTTCTCAGTTTTAGGCAACCTAGTCATACATTTGTCTTCAAATGTGGGGTATTGTCGGAGTTTGAATGAAATTTCAACTCAAATGTGGGGTATTGTTGGAAATTATGAGTAGAAATTTCATTGTCCCACATTAGTCACTACCAAAATGTTCCCTCACTTTATAAGGCTTTGTCCCTTATAGATAGTGATTGGAGTGATGGACCATGGATAATGAAATTGGGCTCAACCTTGGGGTTTGGTTTTGGGGTGTACTAATTAATATATAATTAATTATCAAAAGATGGGCCTTGAGCCTTGTGGCTCTTGGGCTTTAATAATTAAATTATTTAATTAATTATTATTATTTTATCAACAGACTCATCTTTTTAAATGAAGTTTGAAGTGACGAAAGAATGTCAGAGAGCAAAGCACCCCTCTGAGAAGATGTCTCCCAACAGACACATCTCATTCTCATACATGTTATGAACATGCATAAACCTATTATATATACATTCATTTGCATGGCATTTAGAACACAGAAATATCAAATTCTTCTGCAATCCAAAACCTTCTTACGGAGAGAACCACAAAGAAATTCACCATAAGTCAGTTTTTTGGTGCTGGAATCCTAACTTAGATCGTTGAATCCTGGTGAGGCAAACATCCATAGAACTACAAGTACTAAGTATAGACGAAATTTCTATTTTAAGGACATTGCGGTACGCCAGTTCTGTCTGTTTAAAATATTAATTCGTTGTATTCACATTCTATTAATTTATTTATTCACATTTATTATTTATTAGCATATATAAAATTATTATTGATTGTTGACATATATTCAATACGTAACAAAGAGAGGAAGGGGATGAAAATAGGGAAAAGAAATCAAATAAGGAACTAGAGCCATAGATAAATGACTTTTTATATTTACTATTATATTATATCAAATTGTATTAAAAAATAAGCATAAAATATTTGATTTGTGGCATGGCATTTTAGTAATTACAATGTTATATTTCGATTCTATTGAATTAGTAAACAATTTTATGAATTCAGTACCATTTTTATTCCGATTTCAAAACATTTTAGTAAATAGCTTTTATGGAAATCTGGATTTGGATTCTCCTAAATTCAATTCCTCCTGAATCCAATTTCTCCAATTTTGATTACGGTTACATAAATGAGCCATGAGTTTGTTCTTTTTAACTTTGTTTTTGTCACACTTTTTAACTTTATTTTACCATTGTTATGTTGATGTCAAGTGAGAGGACATTATTGCTAATCCATTGTGAGATTATGCCCACCCCTCCCTTAAGTGTAGATAATATTATGTATTAAAAAAAAAAGGACATGTGTCAATACATTAGATAGGCAGGGCACAATGTTTTTGTTGCAGAAATTTGAACTTGGCTAGAGTGTACATTTAGTGTTTGAAATATCCTGGATATGTTCAATATTTTCACGGAAATATCCAAAAATTCAGGGAACGATATTCACCCCATATCAGTGATATTTCCAGAAATCAATCAATTTCCTCGATATTTCCAATATTGTTAGGAAATATCCAGGGTTTACAAACAATTTGTAAAAAGTTTGCAAGAAATATCCATAAGCCTATGCATTCTTTATTTTTTAATTTCTTTCTTTATGGTATTAGTTTACTTCAATAAAACTTATGCCGCTTTCGTGACGAAAATTTCAATTAAGTTATATATAATTTATTTTTTCTAGTGAAATGCTTTATTTTATTACTTGTCATTAAAAGGAAGTTTTTTTTCCTCACATATTACATACTTATTGTTTACACATTATCTAATCATTAATTCTTGATTTATACGAGTGTTGTGGCTTCGTATGACATTCCCTAAAACATATTTTAAATTTCTATGTTTTTAAGCAAATTCCCATAATTTCCATCAAAGGTAATCGATATCGATATTGATATTCGATATATCTATTTAACATTTCCATACATTTATCTATCGATATTTCTACCAATACTGATATTTTAAATTGTGTACATCATCAGTAAACGAGGTGATAATCAAACCTATCTCCGACGCATTAAAAAATAAAAATAAAAATAAAAAAAATAAAAAAAAAAAAATAAAAATTAAAAAAGCCCAAACCCTATCAGGAACGCATTACGTGGCAAGAGAGGTGGGTTGGTGACCGTCGGATGTTGAGAATGGGCGAGCGAGGGCTTTTATGCGAGAGAGAAAACCAAGCCATAGCGCCGTCTGAGTTGCAGGCTTGGATTCATAATCTTTATATCTTCTCATCCCGAACGCAAAAACCCTAGTGAGGCCAAAGCTCCCATATCCCCCCTACGCCAAGGTGAAGACTTTCTCATTCGCGCTCTCTCTTCTCGTCGGTCCTTTATTTTATTTAGGGAATCTGTTTCTGTTTTGTTTATTGGAATTGCTCATTTGTTGCCTGTCCTTATTTGCTGGTTAAATAAATGATTGAGGATGGATTATTGAGCAGAGCACCCACTGTGTTTGTGTTTTTTTTGTTTGTAATTTTTTGCTGTTGTGTCCGTGAAGCTTGTTCGTTGGTGGTAAAGCTAAATCAGTCATTTCTGGTGCAAATATTGTATTTTTAGATTTCTAGTTTTGATCGTGTGGGCAGCCAAAGAGTACGTTAGAAATGTTTACTAGGTGGGATTCCAAATGAATATGCTACATCTGTGCACTTATTGTTCGCATCTGTCGGTGTCAGTATTATAACTCTTGTATTTCTTTGGATGAAACGGTGTGATAGCCCAATTATGAATGCTGAACAGGGTTCTACTTCCACAGGGTCATCAGTATTACTTTCTCAGAATTGCTAGTATTACATGTATTCACGGTTGTATAGGTATAAATATATGTTTTCTTGCTTCATTGTCATGTGTTGACTTGTGGCTTTAGGTTTCTCAGTTTTAGGATGCTGTGCCTTGAGTTTCGTGTGGAGCATTATGTTGGGTGTGATAAAAAACAGTATGGTTTTGCTCTTCTTACCATCTTTAAATCACTTGTTATTCCCATTTCATCATTTAATGAAGACAAACTGAAATTTGAAAATTTTTTATTTTTTATTTTTATTTTATTTTTTATGTTTATAGGATTTGGGAGATGTTTGGAACTCAATTATTCAGTATGTAAAGTTTATTGCACATTGGCACCTCATAGAGCGTTTTTGTTGAAGTTTGTATAATTCGAGCTCATTTTTCTTAATACAGTATGAGATTGAAGAAACAAGATTTATAAAGTGTATCATTATTTTTATATAAATAATCCCAAAGATCAACCCCAGTCAGCTTGACACCTCCAACCTCATTCAACCTGACACCAACCCCATTCAATCTTTACCAGGACATAATCTTTCTTTCTTTCAATTACAAAAGCCCTAATTAATCCCTGTTCAAGACAAATCCAATCACCACGCAACACCAATTGACCAGTCACCACACCATAACATTTGAGTTGACTGTGTCATCATTAATAAAAGCCCTAATCGCTTTACAAGACAAAAACTAATTTATTCCTGATTTCGTGTTCTTACTTTCCGAAAACTAAAAGCATAAGCTCGTCCTTGCTAGAAACCTACAATTCTCAAACTCACCATGAATATCAGTAAAGAATGAACCCGTAAAAAGACCCCGAAGCACTGTTAAGTGATAACAATGTTCCCGGATTTCATTTCCCTCGAAAGGAATAAAAATTGATACCAATTATTACAGACGAAACCCGTAGTAGTAGTAGTACATGTTGAAGCTGAAGTCACAAAGGTTTAGGGTTTAGGGTTTAGGGTTTAGGAAACTTTAATCCGAAAGAAGATATATCTTTCAAGAGCTTTCAATTTTTTAGAGGTGGGAACTTATGAATAGCAAAGTGTAAAACTGACTAATATTTCTGTTGTCTGTCAGAAGAGGGAAGCTTAAATACCTGGGGATGGGTAGGTTCACACTTTGGGCTACTGGGCTTGGAAGGCTGAGATGGGCTATTGGGCTCTTATCTTTCGAGGAAAGCGAAATCCATGAACGGGAAGGTTTAACACTTAATAGTGCTTCGGTGTGTTTTTATGGGTTCATTCTTTACTGATGGGAATGGTGAATTTGAGAATTGTGGGTTTTTAGGACAGTAAGCTTATGCTTTTAGTTTTCGGGAAGCACGAACTTGAAATCAAGGAAAGATTGGTTTTGTCTTGTAAAAGAAAGATTTTTTTTTCTTACAACGACACGTACAACTCAATTGGTACGGTGATTGGTTTTGTCTTGTATAGGGATTAATTAGGGCTTTTGTTATTGAAAGAAGGAAAGATTATGTCTTGGTAAACATTTGTTGTGGTTAGAGGTGTCAGGCTTCATGTGATTGATCTTTGGGATTATTTATAAAAATAATAATACCCTTTATCTACCTTTACCCTTACAAAGTTACGATGAATGTCTCCACGCTCCACCTCTTAAAAATTTCTTGGTGTTTTCATGTACTTTGTCCCCTTTAGACAGGTGTTATTGATTCTGAAATCTCTCTCCCTCTTGCAGTTAAACTTGTTCATTACAAGTCTTGCACAGAAAACTCAGGATTGAAATATGTCCAGTGGCCCTGGTCTTGAGTCACTCGTTGATCGTATGAAATTCTTCACTCTTCATTATTTTATTTTTTTCAAATATCAACGCTTTTCAGTCGTATGCATGAATATAGTTAATCCTTCTATCCTATAGGCAAACTTTGTGCACCATATTCTATGAGCAGATCAACTCTCTCTAACTGTTAACAACATTTCTATGTGCAGAAACAATTTCAGTTATCACAAATGATGGACGGAATATTGTGGTATGTTACACACTAACACTACAATGCAGCGTTTGCGTCTTATCAACATTCAAATGTACCTTTTACATCTTATTAACAGAATCAGTTTGTGAACAATTTTTTTGTTTTTATTTTAGGGAGTCTTGAAAGGTTTTGACCAGTCTACTAATATTATTCTTGATGAATCTCATGAACGTGTTTTTTCTACAAAGGTTTGCATCTTCACTGTTACAAGCTTTCACTTTATAGCTGCATCTTTGTTTACTCTTTCTAGTAATTGGACAAAAGGAAAGGGAAGTGGGAATCTACTTTATGCCAGGCGGAATTTTTCTGATTTTTCCCAATTTTGAACATTTCTTATTTTCCTCAAGACGTTCAGGATCTTAAGCGTTGAATAATTATTATGTGTTTCATCTCTACTGCTAGATATTGTTGTCATTGGGGTTTTGCATATGGTTTTCAAATTCAGCATATACAAAACATTTATTCATTTTATTGTCCCACTGGCATTTTGTTAACTTGTATTTCTTATTGGTGGCACCACTTTTTCCTATTTAGCTGTCTTTCTCAGTCATTTTTTTCGGGTTTGCTATGGAATCATCTACTTGACCCAAAAAAAAAATTTCTTGTATTTCTGACCGACAGGAGGGTGTTCAGCAACTCGTGTTGGGGTTGTATATAATCAGAGGTGACAACATGTAAGTGTCAAAATTTTATTCTATTTACAATAGTTTCCGGTGGGTGGAGGGAAGTAATTTGGAATGAGTTTCTACAAATATATGCATGTACAGTGCACTGCCTTTCTAAGTTCTCAGTGTCTTCCAATTGTTGCAGAAGCATTGTTGGGGAATTAGATGCAGATCTTGATTCTACTGTTGAGTGGTCGAAGATGAGAGCTTATCCCCTCAAGCCTGTCATCCACTGATCAGCATGAAAGTTGGGGCGGTTGTGGACTCGATGAATTGTGACCTACCAAATAAATGTTGTGGGATATAGGAATACAATGACGAAATTTGGGTTTGCTATATTCATGCATAATAGGTTTCAAAAGTGTTTCCTAATCATATCAGTTTCTGAAACACCGATGTATTCAAGCAGAATTATCAGCAAAAATCTCAATATGCGTTGGTAGCCAATGTATATATAAAACTAATTTATCCTTCATTTTTCGGGGCAACAGTAATTTTATTTTCTTATCAAGGGGCATAACAAAGTGCTTATAGTTCGTGCAAACTCGGATTATGTTGATGAAAAATTGTAGTCAAATATAACAAGAATGCCGAACTCGTTAGGCCACCAGGAAACTCTTTCCAGTTTGATTGTTTTGGTTATATCGACATTGAGCCGAGTCGACAAGGGAGCGAGCAGGGGAGATGAGACCTTTTTGTTCTTTTTATTCTGTGTTTTTTTTTTTTTGAATTTTTTTTTTAATGCGAGTCGACAAGGGGACGAGTCGGGGAGATAAGACCTACTTGAGACTGAGAGGGTGTGAATATCGTTTTGTAGAGGTGGTTGGAACTTGGAAGATAAGAGGAGCTGGTAGTCGTAAAAATCGTGCAAGTTGAGTCGGACGCGGTCGAGTTGGATAGCGAGGATTTGACTCACTTTGAGGTCATGATAATTTTTTTTTTTTTTTAGGTGGCATTTAAATTAGATGTGTGTGTAGAAAGATGATAATATTGTAATTTTTTTAATTATTCAAAAGGGATAATTTGGTATAGTTTGGATAAAAAAATGTGTTTAATTATTTAACTTAACTAAAAGTTGATTGTGAAAATAAAGGTAACCTAAAATGGAAAGAGATCATCTTTGGATCTCTTCCTCCAAAGAACACAGATCAAGTGATTTGCGTCTTTGAAATTTGATCCAACGGTAAAACATTATTATAACTTTTAAAAGTTTTTACTAACTTCTTTATTTTTAACCGTTAGATCAAATTTCAAGGGTCCGTATCATTTAATCCGTGGATTGTAGAGGAATAAATCTAGAGATGATCTCTTTCCACCTAAAATAAGAATAATGTGGTAATGACACCAATTAGACATGTAAATTGGGCTGACTCGAGCCTGAGGAGTATTGGACCTAGCCCTACCGGGCCTCAAGTTTTTCGGCTCTAAGGGTAAAAGGGACCAGGCTGGCCCGAACTTATTTTTGCCTCCAACCGCTTTTTATTTTATTAATAGAGGCACTTTGCTAATGTGGAGAATTGAACATATGATTTTTTATTTAATTATTCTTAATACCGTACCAGCTAAATGACTAAGTTTTTCAAAAGAATCAATTAAATTATACAAGTATAGATAAATCAGTACACACCAAATTAATAAGTTTTAATTACATCGGAGTAGTCACTCAATACCGTTGTACTAGTGATATTCCTCTTCATTTGGAAGTGAGAGATCTTAGGTTTGAATATCGTAGATGGAAAATTCAATACCAAATTAAACTGCTTATTATGTACGTTAACCAAACTCCCTCTTTTTTAAGTATAAAAATATGGATGTTCTAAAAACAAAATTACATCATAGCCAGGTCATAGGCATACTATGTAAGGCTCAGGCCCTACGCATTTGAAAACGGGCGGAATAAAGTCTACGCCTTCGATCGGGTTAGGCCGACCCAAGTTTGGCTTTGGTCTTGGCCCTTTTTACAGGCCTAACACCACCAACCAACCATAAATAATTAGTTTCTTATTCTTCAAAAGTAATGCTAAGGATGCAACATAATATAAACTAGCTTTTCTATACATGCTCATGCGCGTGCGAAATACCGTGTATAAAATTCTATTTTCTTTTCCACATTTGTACTCAATATAGGTAATAGGGCATCTATAAAACTGATTCATTCAATCTTATGGTATGTAGAATCTTAATTTGTTCAATCTTAATAAAGTGTATATCTCTAAACTACATATTAATAAATCCCTGTTTGTCAACCAAATTTCAAAAAACTACCACTCTAACCCTCTCACCAGAACTGAACAAAAATAAAAAACTTGGACAATTTAGTAATTACACCTAACACAATTTAGTAATTACGCCAAAAATAAATAAATAAACCCCACTTCTCCTCCTCTTCCTCTCTCAACATTCCCACTTTCTAATACCTTTTCTCTTCCCTTTTTTTATGTGTCTTTTTCTTTTTTAAGTTATCATCCATGCTCATTAGTGATAAGTCGTAAAATAAAAAATAAATTTAGTTGCACACGTAAAGCTTGTGTGCCGATGGCTAGTTTAAATAAAGGAAAACTAACGAAAAGTTAAAAAAAAAAACTTTAATTTTAATGAAAAATGACAAATAAATGTGTAGTGAATAGTATTAAGAAAATGTAAAAATATAATTTTTTGTTAAAAGTGTACAGTATCAAGAGTGTTTCGTTAAAACTCCCTTTAAATAATTCATTAGAAACAAATTTATACAACATATGGATTAAAAAGTAAAACTACCGAAGGCCAAAGAAATCTTGACTTTCTTTTTTAGGTTTTTCTCTCATTTGGTCTCGTACGTGTACACTTTTTGTGTCATGTTGCGTTTGATAATTGGCACAATGTTGTTTTGAACTTAAAAAAATACATAAAAACAATTTACACAAATTTTACCCAATTTTTTTTTATAAAATGCGTAAACAGAGAAAAATTAAAAGTGCCCAATAATCAGAGAGCTTACGCCCGTCTTGCCGGGAATCGTGTAAGTCACACCATCAAATTAATGGTCCCATCTGGTAAAGTCCCTGGATTCACAACAAAACTCTACAAACACAAAATTGAACCCACAAAAATCATAACTCAATTTACACACTAATTCGCCAGAGAGAGGGGTGGGTGTACGGACGTGAGGGTGGCTCCTCTAAATTCCGACTGAAAATATGTGAAGAAGGTGGGATCAGATGGCGAAGCAACTGTCCAAGAAACTGCTGCCACAAATAGAAGAATTTAAATAGTACTAATTTGCAGGTAAAAATGATATCATGAAAGAGATAAATAAAATGCTGAACATCAATTACAAAAGAGAGAAGTGGCCAAGCAAAAATGACGATAAATGAAAATGCATGAAAGTATTTAGCCATCTGCAAACAAATTACTGCGTAGAATCTTACCTTGAAACAATGTATGAAAGTACGAGAGAACTGGCCTATAGTAATTTGTTTCCCATAAAACTACCCACGCACTTTGATGGAGAAAGCGGCAGTGGTTTGATGCAGATTCATCCCATTTTTATCCTTTTGGTTCAGCTCCCTAGAGTTTCGCACAACGTGACTCTCCTGGTCTCTCGACGTTCAGTTTTTTTCTTGTTTTTTTTATCTTCGTATTTTTCCCGATTATTTCTTCTTCTTTTTTTCCCTGCATTGTTTTTTATTTTTTTATTTTTTTTTGTAGAAAAATATCCTTGGAGATGATGAATTTAAATTTTTATTGTTTAAGGGCTTTTATACGTCCAAATATCTATAGTGAGCCAAATATAAAATAAATGAATTGCAGCCAATCATGAGAGTTAAGGCCATTTCCAACCGAAAGGTCCAGAGGCGAAAATAGCTCGAAAGCCGTCTCCAACTGAGGGTTAGGCCATACAGCTCGTGGGCCTCACGGAATATGAAAGGGCCAAAGGGCTGGCCACATCCATCCAGCCAACCAGCCCGAGTGTGACATCCCACATCGCCCAGGGGAGTGATCCTTATATGTATATTCTCATCCCTACCTAGCACGAGGTCTTTTGAGAGCTCACTGGCTTCGGGTTTCGTAGGAACTTCGAAGTTAAGCGAGAAGGGGGCTAGAGCAATCCCATAATGGGTGACCCACTGGGAAGTTGCTCGTGAGTTCCCAAAAACAAAACCGTGAGGGAATGGTAAGCTCAAAGCAGACAATATCGTGCTACGGTGGTGGAGCGGACCCGGGAAGTAATCCCTCCCGGGCCGAGATGTGACACTGGGGCTGGCTAGAATTTTTTTTTTAAACTATCAATTATAACCGACAGAAATAAAAAAAAATAGTGTTGGTTATAACTGACACAAATAGCATGGAAAATTTTGAATATAACCTCTAGCTGACGTCAGCTAGCCGTTATTTTTTAATTTTTTTTCTTTTTTCTTTTTTTCAGTTTTATTTTTTTTATTTACAAAATTTTTCCTATAACTTCTATTTTTTTTCTATAACTTCTATTTTACAAAATTTGTTTCATATTTTTTTTTAAATTCCTTTTTTTTCCTATAACTTCTATTTTACAAAATTTGTTTCCTATTTTTTTTAAATTCCATTTTTTCCTATAACTTCTATTTCACAAAATTTGTTTCATATTTTTTTGAAATTCTATTTTTTTCCTATAACTTCCTAAGCCATTATACAATATTAAATTAAATTAAGTAACATGAAACAACATTAAACAATATGAAACAACATTAAATAACATTAACCATCATAAAAATTATACAACATAAAAAAAAACATTTAACAAATGAAACTTAAACAACATTTTTAAAAACATTAAACAACATAAAACTTAAACGCCTACTCCATGCTTCTTTTGGCCCAAAGATTTGTAACAAGATCCTGTTGTAAATAGTTGTTTGTGGCACGAGAACGTATCATTTTATAGTGCCTCATGTACTCATTTATTGAGATACTACCAGTTCTTGGATTGAAATGCAAATTAGGCCTATCATATATTTTTGCACAAACCATTCTTGACCTATTTGGATCTTCTTGATCGTCATCAGACTCTCCATCAATATACCCATCTTGCTCATCCTCCATTATCATATTATGTAATATGATGCAAGACATCATGATGGAGTTCAAATTTTCTCGACTCCACCATTTTGCCGGTTCGCTGATGATCTTCCACCGTGCTTGTAGAATACCGAAAGCTCTCTCAACATCTTTCCAGTATGCCTCTTGGTTTAAAGTAAACAACTTTTTCGCGTCATTCCTAGGGTTTGGAATTGCTTGGACAAGTGTCGCCCACTTTGGGTAAATGTCATCTGCCAAGTAATACCCCATATTGCATTGATGACCAATGATGTAGTAGTCAAGTTGAGGTGCTTTACCTTCCGTCAGGCGATTAAAGAGGGGTGAACACCTAAGAACTGTAATGTCATTTTGGGATCCAGGGACTCTAAAGAAAGCATGCCAGATCCATGTGCCATATGAGGCAACCGCTTTAACACAACAGTTGGCTTTCTCAACCTTCCGCTAAAGCCTCATTGCCATCCAGTGGGACAATTCTTCCAATCCCAATGCATGCAGTCTGATGATCCTATCATGCTCAGAAACCCACGATCTTCAGCTTTGCGAAGAAGCCGATTCAAATCTTCTTGATTTGGCTCGCGGAGGTACTCGTCTTTGTAAACCTGAACAATTGTGTCACAGAATTGTTCAAGAGTGTCAAGGCATGTAGACTCAGACATACCATGGGTTTCATCTATTGAATCAGCTGGGGAGTCATAGGCCATTATTCGGAGTACAACAATAACCTTCTGATGAGGTGAAAAACCAGGGCGGCCTGCTCTGTCCCACTTCTGTCGAAAGTATGGATTGATTTACTGGACATCACAAAGTAAATGCTCGAAGACATGATGCCTTATCCGGAAACGACGTTTGAAATCCTCTTCTGTGTACACCGAGTTGGGGTTGAAGTAGTTATTCATCAGATTGGCATGTGTCATCGCTCTATTTGGTGGTTTGTAAGAGCGACTAGCAACAGAGCCACCCCATTAAGATTGTTCCTCAATTGGCTGACATACCATGGCCGCAGCCATGGCTACTGCTTTATTTTGTTTGTTGCGCCTTACTTGAACTTCTTCATCAGACTCCTCATCTTTTCGTCTCATTTGCACCTATTTTTCTTCCAATTTGGAATTGGATGAGGATCCCCAGTTGGAATCCGACGAGGATCCAAAGTTGGAATTCATTGCAAACTTGAATTGAAAAAGATTGAATTGAAATAGTTTGAATTCAAAGTTGTGTGAATTATAGCCCAATATCCACCCTATTTATAGAAAAAAAATTCAAATCTAATGGCTAGTTGACGTCATGCTGACGTCACTTAGCTGTTGGATTTGAATTTAAGTTGTAGTTTTTAAATAATAAATTATGTTTGGCCCTATATCCCTTTGACCCTCGGTTGGATACCTTTTTTTGTGACAGGGCTAAAACGAGCTTTATGGCGCTTTGGTCCTCGGTTGGAGATGGAGGCAAATATGGCCTTGCACTATTCTGTTCGGGCCCAAAATGACAACTTGGGCCGAAAGTAACAAAATGAGTCGAGACTCTTGCTTCAACGGTCTTCCAAGGGTATCATGGGTCGGCTAGGTTCTAGGAGTTGTCTAGTCAGTTTTTTCGGTCGAGTCCTCTTGCGAGAATGATTGATTCAGATAAGGGCGAAGGTTGAATCCTTGTACCATCAGGGGTGTTAAAAGTTGAAGGCATTGAGAATCAGGGAATGAATCTGGTTCATTATGGAGGAGGGTTCAAAGTCCCAATTTAATTAGGACTAGTCGAGTCCTAGTTAGATCAAGATAAGGAGTTCGAGTCCAAGTGTGGTTCTAACTCGTCCAGGAGCAGGTTCACTACTATAAATAGAAGAAGGATCGCACCATTCAAGCATCTCCAATTGAACACACAAACTGTCATGTGCAAACTCTCGCTCTACGCGAAACCTCTCAACAACCTTGAGATTTTTATTTTCTTTTTCTGCCAACACATCTTCAGTTTGGATAAACAGCATTGTGAAGGCAACTGGTGACATCTTTAGTTTGGATAAACAGCACAATTGACGTAGAATCAGCCGACCCCGTAGCACCTTCAGTTTGGATAAATAGCACTACGTCAAAACTGACTGGTTATCTATCCAAGTCTCGGCTAAGAAGGATCTTCGAGTTCTTGTTGGCAGAGGTCATCTCATTAGCCTTCTTGGCAAAGTGATGTGTTACAGATTACTGGGCTCAACACATTGAACGCCAAGTTGTTTTATGATTGGATACTCACAAGTAAGTTTTAGAGTTCGGCATTCTGACGGCCGAACCACGTTTACCATCAGGACATACATCTCTTTTGAGTACTTGTGTCCATATAGTTTGGTACCGGTTCGGTGTGCTTATACTCTTATGAATATAATTATCGTGACCGAACTCGGTCCCGACGATCCGTGAACTTTGCAAGACTAGCAGCCTTGTCTTTAGGCTCTAGAACCCGAAGGCCGAGACGTGTTCCTTCCTCGGCCGCAGTTGCATGATCAAGAAGTCAGCAGTGCGCTCAACGCAACATCAACACATTTTACTCCTCGGCCGAGCTCGGCTGATGAGTTGGCACACTCTGCATCAACCAAATGACGTAGTTAGCTTATTAATTACTCGACCTGCGCACCACGTAAGCTTGATAGTTTTTAGGGTCAACATGTTCATTAAAATATTAATATCCTGGAAGGCCAAAGGGCTAAAATAAGCCCTCTGACCAGTCCTCGATTAAAGATGGCCTAAGTATTCGGGACATGACTATTTTTTTTGGACGAAGGGATATGACTTGGTTGGTCGCAAGGAGCGATTATCGATTTATCCCTTGAAAATTGATCAGTTTTTATGGAGTGAAATATATACTCATTTGATTACCAATATATATATATTATATACTCATTTGTATACGCAGTAACGTTGGTAGTAGTCGAAAATCACAGGACTCCATTCCATTGCTCACCAGTAAAAACAGTTAAACAATCTTACCTCTCTCCCGACTGCTACTTCTAGACGAAGATAGCTAACAAAACTAATTACACAAAGTAGCTAGCTAAATATGAGGAGGAAAACTGGAGAAGGGAAAACTGCAGAACCTTCTGAATTATTTTCCGCGGTAGCTAATTATTAGGACTCCCTAACAAGTAAACAAACTTCCTAGCTAGCTAATTACTAAATCCGGCTATAAATATCTCTCCATCCATGCTCCTATATAAATATATACATTAATTATTCATTCTATTAAGTAAATAATTAAACAGAAAAATCTTGCTCATCTAGCACTTTCTTGAGATGGCTTCTCATCCCGGAAATCTTAATGCCAATATGCGGTGCTTGTTTTTGGACCTTTTCATCGTCATTATCGTCGGCTTCGCTCCAAACCCTATTTTGGCTAAGAAAACAAAAGTTGATGGAATGAAATTGAACGTGATTGACAGTTGCTGGAGATGGAACTCGAATTGGAGAAGTGACCGGCAGGAACTTGCGTCATGTTCAGTGGGATTTGCTGGGAAAATGAGCAACAACGCAGGAAGTGATGTCAAATACTATCAAGTCACGGACCCTAGTGATAATGCGTTGGACCCCACACCAGGAACTTTGAGATATGGGGTTACCATGACCAGAGGGAAAAAGTGGATCACCTTTCGGAGGGACATGCGGATTCAGCTCCAGAAACCTCTTCTCATTAGTAGTTTTACTGCCATTGATGGAAGAGGTGCTACTGTTCACATTGCCGGCAATGCGTGTTTGGTAGTCTTTAAGGTAACTCTTTAATTAATTAGACACGTACAATTGCAACACATGCACATATGTATGTCAAGATCATGAATGTTGGTCATTAACATGGTCACTAACTCTTAAATTTAATATCAAAGGTAAAGAACATACTTATGTCAAGGTTATAAATCTTTGGTCCCTAGGTGATCAAGACAACATTCTCCTGTCAAGATGAGGTCAATGTTGAGATCATGAATTTTTGGTCCCTAGTAAAGAGGAAGATCTAGAAGTCAGGTCATCCAATACAGTCAACAATTTAAGTCCAGTCATTAAGTAGTTTATTTACCCTTGTGACTGTAATTAGTACAGACAATTAGGAACTTCATTGTAACTAGCAGATGTCCACACATACTGTGCGAACAGTTTCATTTCATTTTGTTTTTATGCGATTAGTTTTTAAAATTCTAAAAAAAAAAAAAAAAATTCTGTTATGAAATATGGGACAATGATGGAGCAATTTCTTCTAACGTGAGGCATACATTTGTTTATTTAATTTTTATTTTTTTAATAGGGCATAATATGCTTAAATGGTTGTGAGGTTGATGTAAAATACATCAGAATTTATGTTGCATGTAATTACTAAATTACCGATATTTTTTTTATTTTTTGCTCAATTTGATGAGAGATTAGAATGGTAATTTCATAAAACTTTTGTTGACAAACATACTTCCACCCCAATGTCTTATTTCCCAACCTACCATTTAATGAAAATGTTAATAACATATTTATCCTTTTATAAGAAGACTCTTAAACCCTAATTTAATTAATTACTAAAATTTTGAAAAAAAATAACAAGAAATAATTTAAAATATAAATAAATAATGGTGGGTGGTGTGTGATATCTTCGACGGAGAGGCTGGGAAAGATTGGAGGAAGGAATGGGTGTGTGCTAGACGAAGGCAAGAAACTTCAATGGAGGAAAAAGAGACTTGGGGGTGAGATTTGGGGTTTTGATAGAAAAGAAGGAAGAAGGGTGGTTTGGGGATCTGGGGTCTCTACATGGTGGTGATAGGTGTGAGTACTATATAGATATGAAATTCGGTGAAAATAGAGGGTGGGGAGTTGGATAGAGATCGGGGTGGTAGATTTGGGGTTAGTAGGAAGGGATATTATGCAATGGATGCCACGATTTGAAGGACATGCGTGGTTTGAAGGAGAAGATGAATGTCCAAGTCTTAGGTCTTGCATTTTCTTTCTTTTTTGTTTTTATTTATTTATTTTAATATTATTTAAAAATATATTAGAGTTAGTTAAAAACTATATTAGGGTTATTTTAGGAATAATGGTGTGTGAGAAAATAACATTTTATGTTTTTAATTTTTTATGGATGGGTGAGATTAGGGGTGTGGTATCCACACACCCTTTTAATTTTCGATCGTCGGATCAGATGAATTGAAGAAGATCAAATGATAGAAATTAACAAGGGGTGTGTGAGAAGTAAAAAGGGATGTGTGGATAGCATACCCTGTGAGATTATCATGTGGGTGGGAAAATAGGACACTGGGGTGAGTCTAATAGCACTCTAGTTTTATTAATAGGTTGTTTAGATTAGAAAAAGCTATATATTCATTCAATCAAAAAGAAGAATATTCTAGAAACTTCATTTCCTTTTACCTATGTGGTCAAGACACTCTGCTGAGATGATTCACTTATAGAGGTGTATTCAATTAAGAATTTGAGAGATTTCAATAGATTTATAAATTCATGGAGTTTAAGGGAGTTTAGTTGATTTCTAGAGATTGCTTGAAAAAGTTTGATTCAATTCCCTTGAAATCTCAGGGAGAGATGAGACATTTGTGAATACTTAAATTGCACTACGAAATCTCTCCAACTACCCTCAAATTTCTCAACTTTTTAAAATTCTTTAAAATAAATTCCTAATTGAATACACCTGGATTTCTAAGGATTTTAACTCACTATCTTAAAATCCTGATTGAATACTCATTGAATTTCAAATAATTACTTAAAATCCTGATTGAATACCCCTATATTCATTAAAATAATTAAAATCCCTCGAATTCTCAATTGAATACACCTCCTTAATTATTAGAGTATCAAAATCAAACTTCAAACCAAGAGCATGCATGTTAACTACTAACTAATTGATGATTATTTTGTAATTAAATACACCCAATTGATATTATTTAAATTCAGGCAAGCGATGTAATCATCCATGGACTACGAATCCACCATTGTCGATCCCAACCAGCAAGCTCAGTTATGGGTCCAGATGGAAAGATAAGGCAACTAGGGCAGGTCGACGGAGATGCTATCAGGTTGGTAACTGCATCAAAGGTTTGGATAGACCACAATACACTCTACGAGTGCCAGGACGGCCTTCTCGATGTTACTCGAGGATCTAGCCTTATCACCATCTCCAACAATTGGTTCAGAGACCAGGACAAGGTTATGCTTCTCGGCCACGATGATGGCTACGTTCGGGACAGGAACATGAGGATCACAGTAGTCTATAACCATTTTGGACCCAACTGCAACCAAAGAATGCCAAGGTACGTAGTATGTCGCAATTATTGTTAATGCATGCATATTAAATTTAATAGATACTTGATACCTAAACCCTATTTACTTATCATGACATGAACCTATACTTCCTTTGACATGGGATTTAATTAGACACTGTACTACTCTTGTATTCGTATCTCGTATGAACCACGGTTACTGAGATGCTGGACATGATCGCGATCGACCTTGGTCGTGAATCGTGACTGTGATTATGGGCCTAAACTCTAAACCCAAAACCATAATCCTACTCCACCAAACAAAGCCTAGTTGTGTAAAAAGCTATATATATATATATATATATATATATATATATATACATGGAACTGTTATTAACACTCTAAAATTTTATTCTATACTGCTCGCAAATGTATTTTTCTTACTATTTATAGAAAGTTTGGAGTGTCCAATGAGATTTTTGGAGTACTAATAACAATTCCTCATATATATGTGTGTGTACGGGTCTTTTAGTGCACACACAACTAGCTATTTATTAATTATATAGCAACAATATATAATTATCTATTCGGTACTGGATGCAGGATTCGCCATGGATATGCACATGTCGTGAACAACCTCTACAGAAAATGGTCACAGTACGCCATCGGGGGAAGTATGAATCCTAGCGTTAAGAGTGAAGCCAACCTCTTTATTGCACCAAAATCGTTAAACAATAAAGAGGTGACTCAAATATATATTGGTTTTCATGATTCACACACACATATTTATTCATGAAAACTAACTAGTATATTCTCCTATACATACTACACATGCACAGATCACTTGGAGGAAAGACAGCATTGAGAACAAGAACTCGTGGATATTTTACTCTGTAGGAGATATCTTCGAAAATGGGGCTTCTTTCGTCCAATCAGGCACAGGTGGAGCAAAGCCTCACTATAACAGGGAACAAACTTTCGGAGTTGTTGACGCCAAATCCGTCCGGTCATTGACAAGGTCATCAGGCGCTTTAACATGCATCAAATCCAGATGCTAATTAGGTGTCAGCTGTCTCATTGTGGGGATCATCGAACCAATAACACTCGAATTAATTAATGGCGTAATGAAATAGCCCTTGTAAGACGTAATATTAATTTCTTGCTCGTTTTGACTGATGGAGTGATAATTTTCTGGATCACTTTGAAATCTTTGTTACAGCAGTTTAACTACATATATTGAAAAGGAAATAGGAGTGTGTACCTAATGAATATTACAAATATAAAAAATAAAATAAAAAGCAGACTTTGGATGCGATTTTTAACTAGTATGATATTCATAACATGTTTTTATACCACATTTTCATACCACCTTGGGTGGCATTTGATGTGGATAACTATATCATTTGAATTAATCAGATTTTTAAATTTAGTTCATTATTTAATAAACTAATAATTAAGAAAAACTAGTTAATTAAATAATGATTGTGGTATACGAGGAGTCTTTCTCCTCCCTTTCCTTGGGTTTTGCAATTTTTTCAAATGATGTGGCTGTCCACATCAGATGTCACATAAGATGGTATAGAAATGTGGTATAAAAACATGGTATGAATAACATTACTCATTTTTAACTATTAATTTTCTTTGACTGAAAATTTGTTGATTTTTTAGTTTTGGCTTTTTAGTCAAAATGGTCTCTAAGATTTGCATAACTCATCACTTTGGTCATTGAGATTTGAAATCAATATAAGTGGTCTCTGAGTTTGTCCATCATCAATCATTTTGGTCATTCCTTGAAAAATTAAGAACCAAATGACAAAAATACCCTCAATTTAATAAACAATTGGCCAAAATGATTTGACAAAAATTGAGGGTATTTTGTCATTATATCTTTATTTAATGAAGATTTTTTAGGAAATGACCAAAATGATTGAGGGTATTTTTGTCATTATATCTTAGGGATAATTTTGACTAAAAAGCCTTTAGTTTTTTATTCGAAGTCGTGACATTAATGTAATAATGCATTTCTATATAGGTTATTATATTTTTAAAATTTAAAATTGAAATTTGTACTTGTTTATATTAATGAGATTTCAAATAAAACCTATAATTGTGGGATTAACAATACTAAAAGATAAATTATGCTCTCTGGTCTATTATTTTCTATTTTAGTCTAAATTAACCCTATAGGATGTTAAATTGAGGTATTAGATGAAAATTTTAAACTCATAATAGATTATAGTTGTTGTTAATTTGTTATGTGTTAAATTCATAATTTGATATCGTGGATCAATTCGGTCTTTGTAGCTTGTAATGTTGACTGTATAAAGATTATGAATGAAAAAGTTGATAGTTTATCATTTAATTTTTCAATGTTATTATTGTGATATTTTTTGGGAGCTTTTAAATTGAGACCACCCGACGTTAAAATTCTAGATCCACCATTGTCCACACCACTTGTAATATATAACGTACTTCCAATGTACAAATAGCAAAATAATCGGAATCGTTCATTTTTTTATTTTTTATTTTTTTATTTTTATCATCATAAGGATCATCTATGCAAAAGAAAATCATTCAATTTGAAGACCATTTTGTCATACTTATGTGTCAAACAAATTGACAATTTTAATAAAAAGTAGTATTTTCATGCAAATATATGGTTGAACGATCTCTAGAAAATATTTTTTTCACAGCAATGATCTTTAGAAGATGATCACAACAGTAGTTTTTTTATGATAAAAGTATGTTAAGCAAATTAGGTGTTTTGAAATTGATCGTGATGAAAAGGTTAATAATTTCACCCATGGTGTGGGTACAAGAAAAGGTTAAATTTCTTAGTGTGACAATTGATGATCGTGATGAAAAACAATTAAGCAAATTATGTGTTTTGAAATTACACAATTTCAGCGGTTGGATGATGAAATATCTTAAGGTTTGAATATGCATTAAAATCTGTAAAAGGGATGATGCTACAAATACTATCTACTTGAATTATATTTAGTAGATCACATAATGTAGTAATATTAATTGATGGTTGAATTTCTTGTTTAAATCACTAAAAAATGTATTCACATTTAAATCGTCATACCATGTAGTTTACAAAATACAATCTAACAACATGATCTCTCTAATATTTTTCTTTGTGAATGCGTACCTTCATGGCATTGTGATAAGCAAAATCAGGCAAATTGATTGGAAGAGAGAGACAACCATCAACGAAGTCGGAGAACAATTGAGCCACCTCATTAATCTCTGAATCGCTCGACACTCCCAAAAGTTGATTAACCATTAGATTTATAGCCACTTGCCAAAAGTACAAAACAGTACTAAAATTGGTGAATTAATTAGTTAAAGTACAAACATCCTGGAGAAGTATGGATTGATTGGTTTGAAAATTGCTCATAGTGTGAGTCATAATCATTTGAATGTCCTCCAAGAAATTAAACTTTGATTTAAGTTTGTGGTCTAGGCGCATCATGTTTGACGCGATTCCGTGAAACTTTCGGTGTGGCTCTCCTAATTTGCAATTCTCTGTGATAAATTGGGATCAAAATACATACCAATTACTCAGAAAATCAGTTTCTTCTCTTCTGCCTACCAACTGCCCGAACAAAAGCTCCAGTGAAAGATTTCTTCAGATTTCTCAATATGGTTACTGCCGCTTAGTTGCAGATTGTACAATTTCCGATCACAAGCCTCCTTTCAACAATGTCTACTTCTGTTACAGTGAAACTTGATGACTCCAACTACGGTGGTTATAAGGGTAATAATCACTACAAAATTCTTATTATTAGAGGCAATTTTATTTGCATCTATTAACTATTATTAGGTGTAATTGTTGTTAATTTCTGCCTCTAAAGTTAAGGAGTGGCAGATAAAAGATTTAACACTAATACTGTCGTTGCTATTACTCCATCCTAATAACATCACTTTCCGCCCCTATTACCTTTCCTGCCATCCTGGCAGTTAAAGCAATTGAGGCATACAATTCTGTCCTTATTATAGAATTATATTTAATTTTAATCGTTTAATTTTAATCTCCTTGTAAATTAGATTAATATATACTTACTTTTTTGGTCAAATACATACATACATACATACATATATATATATATATATATATATTCTAGATATTCTTCTTGAATGTTAAATCTTTGATTTACAATGTTTATAGGGAATACATGAAAGAGGAAGAAGTACAAATTTAGCTCAAAATGTAGTAGATATTGAATTATAACAAAACTTATATCTAATCAAAGACTCAATCTTTAGCCTCCAAAAATCCAATGCATACGTCTTTTATCGTTCCTTCATCCCTGCAGATACAGTAGAGGGAGATGAGAGAAAAGTTAACAGATTTCCACAAAATAAAACTTCAATTGAAAAACCTAGATAAAAGTGAAATATAAGAGAAAGTAATGTTTAAATACAAACAGAACTCACAAATAAATAATAAAAAAAAGAAAGAAAAAAGAAAAAACCTGTATTGTCACCCTTTTTCAAAAGAATTGTACATTAAATATGCAAAAGTAAAACCAACAAACTGGTCTTGGATTCCAAGATCAGCCAATTTAGTAGCGGACCATTTGACGTCGCGTAGTTGTGTGGAGATGTGTGACGTGTCTTGTGCCAATTGAAGCTGTCGCCAACAATCGGCCAACCTCTTCTTCCTGGTGGCAATTGGCCAACCTTAAGCTTGCTTTTTCTGATCCTTACCGCCAACAACTTTGCAACAAAAGAAATAAAAATACTGTGGAGATCAAATGCAGGCAAGTGGCAGCTGGGAAAAGGTTTCCCATTTCCTAGTTATCTTTTAGAACATCATCCATAAGTCATCTTTTCAAAAAGTTAGACAACTCTAAGACATTCATTTGTAGTGAAGAAAATTGACGAATATGGTTCTACAAAGCAACCCTAAACCGTTAATTCAACATTTATATAATTTCAAATTTTGGTGATTTAAATAGACATGATCTTTGAGGAAAAACTTAAAAAAAACAGACGGTATGATCGTTGAAATATATTGTCAAATGAATCCCACAAAAGCATTGGTTAAAAATTATGTAAAAAAATGATAATGTGGAGTCCGTCCCATATTTAATTATATATATAACAACCACTATTACAACACGATCGATCACAATTAAAAAAATAAGCTAAAGATGTACATAATAATATTCATAAAATTAATGACCTAAATAATTTTGCTGAGCCGGAGCAGGAGTCATTGACCAAGACAACCAGCACAGTAGAGCAACGTCGAGTTACACAAGTAATAACTAATAAGTTATTCTTCGTTGTACGCTGGTATGTGTATGTATACAAATTAGAATAAATGCCATTTCGTATATATAGCAGGCCATCAATTATCTGAATTCTCAAGGAAGAATACCCATATTTTTTTTATTTCTAACTGCGCGTGTATTTTTAGTAGACTCCATTTGTGTACGCCTTTGTTTAATGAAATATTTGATATTTCTTTAAATTGATGGTATGATTATGAATTTATGATAAGTGTAGAACTCGTAATTCGAATGCATTTAAGTCATATTTGTACAAGATTAATAAAACAAAACTTATAAATTAATTAGTATTAAACAAACAAACAAACGTATAAATTATATAACATAAAAATCTCAAACAGAAAAAAATTAAAAACTTAAAAACGTATAAATTATTTTTCGTCCTACTGCAAAAGCATGCATGAATCCAGGCGACTCGTCTTTAACTTGAAGAGATCCTAACCACGACTATACATGAGAAACCTTAAAGCAAGTTTGACTTTGCGCTGTATATGTTTATATTTTATCCGAAAACTGTTGAAATATCCCACATCAATCATATTTCTGATAAAATAAGAGTTCAAATATCTTAATCCTACTTCAACTAATACCGAGATCATTTGTCATAACCCCCACATCTAACGGATTGTGTAGGTGGTAATTACCAAGTTAGGGATAATATTGGTGTTGTTTGAAAGTAGGCATTCGGCTCGTCTCTCTGATAATTCTACATGGTATTAGAGTCAGAGAGCGGGCCTCGTACTGCCACATGATGGGTGGGTTCCTTTGGCTCCAGACAATGATGGTGGGTCCTTAGCCTCGCGTGTAGGTGAGTCCCCTTGGCTTCACGTAGTTATCGATGTGTGGATCTCCCAAGTGTAGTGACCCACTAATTGGATCTCACGTGAGGAAGTGTGTTGAAATATCCTACAGGGACAATATCGGTGTTGTTGGAAGTGGGCTTTCGACCTATCTCTTTGATCATTTTACATAGTATTAGAGCCAGGGAGCGGGCCTTGTACACCCACATAAAGGGTGGGTACCATTGGCCCCGCGTGATGTTGGTGGGTCCTTGGCCCCATGTGTAGGGTGAGTCCATTTGGCTCCACGTAGTTGTCGATGTGTGGATCTCCCACATGTGGTGACCCACTAATTGGATCCCATGTAAGACGGCGTGTTGAAATGTCCCACATCGATTGTATCTCTGGAAGAAAAAAAAAACAAGAGTTTAAATATCCTATCTCCACTTCAACTAATATCGATATCTTTTGTGATAAATCACACACCTGACAAATTGTGCAGGTGATAATTACCAAGTTGAGAATAATATCAATATTGTTGGAAGTGGGCCTTAAATCTGTCTCTCTGATAATTCTACAAAAACACTATACCAATCCATCATGTTGCCTTTAAGTCTTCAACACATTTGAGGGGATCCAAGCACATATGATGTGCCCTAAGTTGTAAGCTCGAGGATGAATTTGTTTGGCAGCTATAGACTATTAGACTATAGGTTAATATAGGGCTAGGCAATTAAAAGAAAATGACTAAACTGGCCAAACCGCACCAACAGTTTGGTTTAGTTTGGTTTTTTTTGTTTTTGTTTTTCGATGAGTACACTAAACCGCACCGACTAAAGTTGGTTTGACGAGCAATTCCTATAATTCTTGGACATCGGTTAACTGAACTAATTCGTGTGTTTGCTTTTATTTTTTTTTAATCAGAATAGAGACCTTAAGGGTAATGGTGGTGTTTTGTCTGTAGGTCTAGGATGACTTTTTTGTTGCATAGTTTGCATCTACATCACATTTTCTTACTTTTCTTGCCTTTTTTGCGGTTTGTTCTTGTGGCCTTTTTTTCTCTCACTTTCAGACTTAGTTCTTAAACCTAACACAACAACCTCCTAGCCATGTCCTCCATTCTTCCTTCCTCCACCACCATCGTGAATCTCTCCAGATGACAGTTCTCTCTCTCCCACTCCTGCGTCATCCACAAATCAAAAACCAACCCAAACCAACCTGTCATTGTCAATTAACCGACATGATCGGTTTTAGTCCCGGCTTGATCGGTTTCGGTTTGCAATTTTGGCTCAACCAACAAGATCGGTTCGGTTTCTGTTTTGGCCCAAAACTGACCCAACCAACACTACTACAAAAGTACCCAGCAGTGTCATTCTAAAAAACGACAAGAAAAGCCCATTTATGTTGGATATTAGCAAAAAATTCGACAAAAATTCATGTAATGGCGGATAAAAAAATTGACAGCATTGCTTACATCACAAAAAAAGCGTTTGCTATCGAATAGGACTCTTAATCTGCCAAGAAAAAGGAAAGTCCATTAAACAAAAAAAAGCAAAATGGTGTCGGATAGGAGGCAATGGTGCCAGTTACAAGAGACATTAATCCTGCCGTCAGATACAACCGACACTAAATTCTGAGAAATTATGTCATATACAAGGACAATTCAATCGTCCATAACCAACATAAAAGATATTAATAATAAAAAAAATATAAAAACGACAATTTAAATAAACATAAACAAAACTAATAATTGAATAAATAATACTAAACAAAACTAATAATTATCCGTTATAATATATATTCATATATATAAAAGTTCGTTAATTATGTTTATAATCTTTTGCTAATTATACAATTTGTAAGAAAAAGAAAAAATATACCTACCTTTGACTTCCTTTTCATCTTCCTTAATCAAGCAGCAATCCTTCGTCGAAGGAATATTTTGAGGATTGTTGACCTCAAAAGCAATAAATTTTGAAAAATGGTCACTATTCGAACTTATGCATTTTCCGGTGGAATCAAATGAACAGTTTTGTTTTTCTATCCATTTTGGGATTCCATAGCTCCGAGTTCTCTGTTGAGGCATTGCTCCTTGTTAATAACAAAAAAAAAAAACATTTGTAATGCATATTTACAAAAACAAAACCTATATAAAGGCTCTAAACAAAGACCATATTTCAATTTATGCATAATGTTTGATAAGGTATCTCAAGTCAAGATTTAAAATACAACTCGATTTAATAACATAATCAAAATTTAAAACACAAACTGAACTAATACAAATAATTTAAAACGTACTGGTTTCGAAATGTTGCTCCTCGAATTGTTCATCCATAGTGATTGAAGCGAGAAGGAAAAGGAAAGAAGGAGGAGAGGAGAAGGAAAGGGGGAAGGAATGCAGCGGGGAGGAGAAGAAACTGGAGAAAGGAGAAGGCAGTGGCGCAAGGAAGAGAGAGAGGGTTTTTATCATGTAGAATTGGTAGTACTGTCGGTTAAAACTGACAGCAATCTGTTTCTATAAAAAAATATAAAAAAATTTATCCGACATACTTTCCTATTACCGTCGAATATAACCGACAACACTTTTTCCGTGTAAAGAATGGCAGGAAATATCCTGCCCAATTCCCTCCCAAAATTTTAAATTCCTTCTCAAAATTTTGTCACGATCTAAAAAAATAAAATAATAGCTGTTTGGTTTAATAAAATTATGTTTATCTAATCGTGATTATAACTATAGTAAAAACAAATTAAAAAAACCAAAGATTATCAAAATTATGCTTATCTAATCGTGATTATTCATTAAATTTAAGTTTTGTACATCTTCATACCAATTATAGTGAAAAAATTATTAATTTAACATAAATAAATATTTATTCAACAAAAAAAACTTAAATAAATATTTATGGTATATTAAATATTAACTAGTTTAATGAATATATTTCATTGACCATCTTCCCAGCCTGATGGTGAAGTGCTTGTGCATGAGACATCTTGGTCTTGGGTTCGAAGGGGGTGTGCTTCTGCTGTTGCCTTTGAATGTGATTAACAAAACATAAATATTTATAAAATATTTGAAAATATATAATATAATCGCCAGAGTTAGCAACTATTTGTGTCGGATATAACCACCAGAGTTGGTATAAAAAATTTGAAAATATTTGTGTCGGCTATAACTGTTAGAGTGAGTATAAAAAATTTCAAACTATTTGTGTCGAATATAACCACCGCCAGAGTTAGTATAAAAAATTCAAAAATAATATAATATAATATGACACATTACGTACTCATGGTGGATGTATTTGCCAAAATTGGTTAAAATTATTTAAAAAATAAATCTGGTGGAGTTAAGAGCCCATTTCATTATTCTTGTTGGATATATCTGACAGTAATACTTTGTTATCTGACACTTTTTAAACATGTTGTCAGAAATATTTTATCCGACAATAATACTATAAAACCGCCATCACTCTCCGACAAATTAAGCCAATTTTGTAGTAGTGCAACCTGTGCCCACCCTTAAGGTTATATATTTACATGAAATATCACCTTTGAGCAACGAACCAAAATGAATTCTACGACTTATTTAACCTTTAATTTGGCATGCCGCTTGTTGGATAATATGTATGACTCACGTGCTAATAAAGTCAACGGAATTTTCAATTTTGGGCCTAAAGCCTAATAGATTTTAAATCATAGTTTTTTTTACAATATGAACTATCTTCCAACTATCATATCACCACGGAGACTAATAATCCAATTAGGCTTCTTTTTTTTATTTCTCCAATGAAAATTGTGGCTTTTGGGCCGGACAAACACAGAATCTTTTATTAATTTTTACGGTTCGTAATACTTAAATTTATTGAGTTTTTGCACATATGATTTATAATTTTATACATAAGCAGAAAAATCCATGAATCATAACAAAAGCCAGGCCCAAGAAAATGATACAGAGCTTGTTACGAATTCTGAAGCCACCTCTTGAGGCCATCACACAGGACTACAAAGAGTATTTTTGCTAGACATGCTCATCACTTTATTTATCATCGTTAGATGAGTTTGAATTTTGAGATTTGTGTAGTGGATATTTTGAGATTTGTGTAGTGGATAGGAATAAATCTCAAAGTTCAAACTCATCTAACAATGATATATAAGTAGTGAACATAAACCACACTAAATAGTGGTGAGGAAAAAATGCACTCCAAGTCAGTGTCCCACCCAAATCGCTTCACTTCCTCACGAGAACGTATAACACAACACGGCTGCTGCAATATTCTGGATGCCACTGTCTCTGGTCCAGACGCCCAATTACAAAATCCTTCATTGCACACTCCAAGAAGTATTCAAGGACAGCATCTGCACCGGGAAGAAGAATTGAAAACAGTACGGAAAAAAAAAAAAAAAAACTAATGAAAATAGCTTGAAAACTTTGAGTTTTAACGATAAGGACAAAATAAAAGGTTACCATAATTGATTTTTTAGTATAAAAATGTGGTTTTTCGTTAAAATAAACAGTACCAGAAGCTTTTCGTTGAAGTTCCAAAAAAAAAAAAAAGGGAAAAAAAATTTAAAAAAAGAGGAATTATTACCATTTCGAAGTTCTCCAGCCAAAAAGATTGTCGTTTCGCCTCCGGAGAGTTGCTGTAATGCAGACAACAAATCCAACACTGCTTCCTCACTATAGATTACATCAGAGCCTAGCACTGGTATAACATTTTGGTAAAAACACACATTTGACATGGTATGGTTTGAGCATTGAATGTAGGTTTACCATTTACCAATTCACTATGATTAAGAAATGAGCAAAGAAAACAGAATCCTAATTATTGAGGACAGTCCTAAAATTCAACCGCCCTTTCTTGGGTGTTCTAGGAGAAGTAATTTTGGTTTCAGTTAGGCTGTTGAATTCAGCATAACGCTAGGATTAAGACAAATTGAATGTGATTCTAAACAGAGACCTCTTAATTGGAATATCACAGAAACTTTGACCATAAAAGATTAGTTCCATTTTGCAAAATGTCCTTTCGTTTTCATTTTCAGTTCTTTAATCTCGAAACCAGACCTTGGTTCCTGACATTTATGTTGGTAGCATTATTATTACTAGTTAACCATCCAAAAATTTGATGTGCAGCACTGCAAGGGAACCAACATCGTTATGTTACTGCTTTATAGGAGAGGGAACCAACATTGTTTACCCAAATCAGGTGGAGGTTCAGTCAGTTCTGGATCAGGATCATCTCCCCATGTGAATTCCATCACTTTAGCTGAACCTCGCATTTCTCCATGTCTCAGATTGACTTCAATGTTCTTTCTCAGTAGTCTCAATCTATCAGGAAGATCTGTGAGCACAACTTGACCGCCTAGAAGAGCTGCAATGCAGCTGGAAGAACAAAGAAAAGAAGGGTGGTATACAGCGAGTAAGAGAACCATTATTTTCAACCTGGCCTATAAGGCCATAAATTAGAATCCAAGTCAAAATCTACATGTACGTTAACCATCTCCGGGGAGGTAGACATATAAATGCCAATTATATCTTGTTAACATGGCCTACAATCAACCCAAACTGCAAACAACTAGAGCTCTGCTGGATGAGGTGATCTAACAGTAAAAGCTCCTAATTCCACCCATTCAAAGCCAGTCTAGTAGAAAAAACTGATCTAGAGGTCCAGTTAGACACTCTATCTTAGAGAATAGCATCTCATAGAAATTAAAGAAGAAAAACAGATAGATGTCAAGAAAGGGATTGTAATTATGAATACCCGACTAATCCACAGCCAGAGCCGAGTTCAACAACTTTCTTCCCTTGAAGAGGTAGTAACTCCGCGTCTGAAGCATGCTCTAGAAACTTCCCCAATACAACTCCACTGTCCCACATAACAGCACCAGTGACCCCAGGTGTATTCTACAGTTCAAGAACAAGTTGAATGCACAATAAAATTTCTATAAGAATAAAACTTAAAAGTGAGTCCTCTAGCAGCTGCCTTTTACATCACAGACCAACTGAAATAAAACGACGGTGGAAGCTTTAAAATAATCTATTATGTGACTCATGATAATCGTTCATATCCTAGCTTTCAACAAGATGACCAAGAAACGAAAATTTTAGTATGAAATTTAGTCTATAAAAACATAGTTTTCTAAACGGAGATGAGAAACAGGCATGCATTATGTACTTACTCTCATCACCTAGTTAGTTTCATTACCATATGAAAATTGAAGCCTAAACCTTCCTAAAACTAACTGACTAGGGGATTCTTGTCCTAGCTCATGTGTCTCTTAATCCAGTTCAATAAACTGACCGAAAAGTTTGATTTCAATATTTTCAAGTTTGAAGGGCGAACCATAATTACCTCCTCTTTGGACCAAAAATCATAGGCCTTGGGCATAGAGGATTGGATTGGAATGGACAGGCCACCATATTTTCAAAGTATGTTGAAGGAAGAAATAGAAAACTTGTGACCAAGTTGGAGGTAGAAGGTGGTTACTCATTTAGTAGAGTATACTGTCAGATTTGACGCTTGTCATTTTGTCCTACATCAAAATGAAAAATAATTCTCGTCTACCTTCATCCATTTCAATCCAGTCCTAGAGAGAGACCAAGCATAATCTCCAGAATAATGCTTCCAGAAACTAGCTGCAAGACTAATAAAGCCTCCGAATTTCAACAAGCTAGACTTGTTGTGCTTGTTTCTTTCTTTCTTCTGTTTTTATGCCTCTACAATCTACATCTAGAATGAATGATATTTTGCTAAGAATTCTGTAAAGTGACTGAATCACACTGAAAACAAAGTTTTAAAGTTGACAAGAAGAAAGAAGCATTGCAATGAAGAAAGAAAGAAAGGAATAAAGATTAGAGATTAGAGAGAGATACCAAGGAAGAAGGGGACTGGAAAATGGAGAGTGAATGGCCACACGCATCCAGTTTCAGTTCAAGACAAGCTTGAGAGACGAAAGCGTTCGGCTTAGACAGAGTTGGCTGTTGGATTCCCCACAGCAGCATTATCTCCTCCGCAGCTGCTTCATATGAACACTCTTCCTTTTCTTTTTCTTCTTCCTCTTCCTCTGATTTCGCCGTTGCCGTCACCGTCAGCAGCCTAACCATTCCTCCGTACGATCCCATCCTAACCATTCTTTCTTCTTCTTCTTCTTTTAATACTACTTCTTCAGTGCCAGTGGTCATGGCTACGGGAGAACAGGAGAGGGGGGGACGTGGATTTATTGAGGGAGAAATATTCAGCGGCGAATTTAAGGCAAAAGCTCACCGGAGGAAGCGGCAGTCGTTCGAGTCGCTTGAATTTTGGGGATTTTATTTGAAACCGGATAACCCTTTTCCACCCCGAATTTAAACCTTAAATGGAAGTTATCTTTCTTACTATGTTACATAATTATCGACGGGATAAAATGAACCATAAAACCAAATTTTATCAATAAACTCATGTCTAATAATTAAACAACCACAACGCAATTTTAATCTTACATTCATTCTATCTAAAGCCTTAAGATGCTCTAACACTCTCATAGATAAAAACAAGTTTTTCATTTTTTTTTTTTTTTTTTTTTATACCGATAGATTCCAATTTTGAAGTTTTGAATCTTTCAACTAAGGTATGAATCGATTTCTACTTTTTGTTTGTTTTAATTTTTTTAGGGTTTAGGAACAATATCAGCATCTCTTCCACAACATAGTCATTAGCAGAAACATATATGGGATATAAATTTTTAAATTTTTTTTAGTCATCTATATGGGATTAAGTAAAATCAGCAAGATGAAGGATTAATTAAAACACCTATGGGATTAAGCAAAATCAGTAGATGAAGGATTAATTAAAACACCTATGGGATAAAGCAAAATCAGCAAAAGAATGATTAAGCACAAGATAAATATGTGAGAGGAATTGCTCTCTTTACACTGTGAATGAGTTGCACTGATTTGGGGTTTTTATTTTCTAAATGGGTGTAATGATAAATTTATATATTAAATTGAGTTTGTGAGGGTAATTTAGGTAGTAAATTTGATTTAAAGATATATTGATAGTTTAACTAATAGTAATATGGGTGCAGGAATATATTATACGTTCAAATAAATTTGGGAAATACCCAAAAATAGGACATTTTTTAATCTTGGGATAAAAATAGCACAAACAGGCGATACACAAGCCATACACAAAATCGAAATTACTAAAACACCCACATATAAATACTAAAATTCATCAGCCCATAGCATAACTTTTCTCATTTTGGAAGAGAGGGATGTGGTGAGAGCTTTGGGTTTATGGGTTGAGCTCAAATCTCTAAGCTCTGATTTTAAAGAGATGGAAGTCCAAAGAGAGGTGAGAAGAGTGAGTTGGGTTTTGGGTTGACCTCATACCTCTGATTCTGAACAAAGGGATGCGAGAGAAAGAGATGAGAAGAGTGAGCTCAGTTTTGTACCATATTTTCTGTTTTGGCTGGAAAGTTCCATTTTTTCCAGCAATTGAAGCTTCGATAGGCATAGTAAGGTAGGGTGTTTAGTTTCAAGTTTCTACATCAATGATTTATGGAATAAATGGGTTGTTTGTAAGATGAATTAATACTTAGAAGTTAATTAGGGTTTGTGTTTCATGTTGGGGCCTATGGGTTGTGACATAAACTCTACTTTTTCACATGCTACATAATTGGGATGGAACAATTTCTAGTTCAAGTGTTCAAATGCAGAAATTTGTGAAAATTTTTCCATAATGTGCATGTGGTGTGCATATGGTGTGGGTGGCTACAACTCAATATGAGAAGCGGGAATGTTTATTAGTTATAATGCACGTATATTGGGCCCTCGAATTTAGCGAGTATGACCACAACCTAGTTGGCCTCGGCTAAAAATAAAATCAAGAAAAAGCTTAGAGGATGTTAAGGGTCATGCGTGTCTATGAAATTACGACAATGAGTGTCATATTTTCCAAGTGCATTGTTAAGCGGTAGTTTGATATACGTAACAAGATTTTTTCAAACTGCCATTGTAACTTTATATACGTAACAATTATATTTTAATTGTATCTACTATACCAATAGATTGTCGTTAAAGTTTCTTATTAATGTGAAAAGTAGCTCGTTGCTCGACCTCCAGTTTTGTGCATATGATGTTCATGTATTGTACATATGATGTGCATGTGGGGTGCATATGGTGTATATGGTGGAGACGTCACAGGTGATGATGTTCTTTTTCTAATTTCGAAGAGATAGTTGTGAGCTATGAGTTTTTAGGTTGGCTCATATCTATGTCATGTGCATGTCACTCCAAATAGATGACTTTTAATGGGATTTCCGAAATCTAGGTTCAAGTCAAAGATTTGTAAACTACAGATCTCTAAGGGATTTTTGGAATATAGGCCCTTACATATCCTCCAACGCTATTAATTGCACGATGCACATCCACAACAAAACCGACGTCATTGCACATATTGATACATATAACAAATTTGGGATTTTCTTCGAACTTAGAGGGAGAAGGTGTTCATTGGCGGAGGAGAAAGAGAGAGATTGCAACAGAAAAATGGTGCTTTTAGTTTTTCATAATGGATTTTCTTCAACATTTGAAACTTTTTGGACTGTAGATTGGTTTTGACCCGATGGGTTTTGAATGGGATTTCGAATTTGGGGAAGAAGATGATGATTTGAGGAAGAAATCCCCAATCTGCAACTGCAAGCACATAAATGTGTTCATTTCCTAAAAGGGCCAATCAGCATACACAAACAATCTCCAAATAAATCAAATCTTCCAATTGGGTTTTCAAATTTGGGGAAAAAGATGATGATTTGAGTAAGAAATCCCCAATATGCAACTGCAAGCACATAAATGTGTTTATTTCCCAAAAGGGCCAATCAGCAAACACAAACGATCTCCAAATAAATCAAATCTTCAAACTGGATTTTCCATTATTTTTCACTAATATAGGAACATCCAATAAATATCAATTTTAGAGAGAGACGGATGGAGGGGGAGAGAGAGAAAGTAGATAGAGAGAGAAATCAGAAGATGAGAGGAAATAACTCATTTACATGAATTTGGTAATTTCAAGGTGTAGGAAAAATCATATTTTTGCCCAATTGTTGTGCATACCATGTGCATATTCAAAAAATCATATTTTTCCCAACGTATAAAGTGTCTTATATATCATGGGTAACTTTGTCATTTCAAATGATAAAATCACCATTTTAACAAGAGTAAATTGTAGCAATGGTCCCTCAACTAAAAATCTATTATCATTGGTCCCTTAACTCATCAAAACGTGTAATTATGATCTTTTTCATCAACTCCGTCATAATTCTGTCAAAATGAGTTATGCTGGAATGACCATTACTCCAATTAGGTTAGAGTTGAGAGACTATTAATACAATTTTTCTTATTTGATTTTCCATATTTGCCCCTTGATTTAGTCTCACGTGCTTGGCACGTGACTCATTTTGACGGAAATTTTAACGAAGTTGATGAAAATAACCATATCTGCACGTTTTGATGAGTTGAGGAACCATTCGTAATGGGATTTTAGTTGAGGGATCATTGCTCCAATTGAGTTAAAGTCAAAGGACCATGACTACAATTTACTCTTTTAACAATTTCAAGAGTATTGGGTTCCGATCAAATTGGCAACAAGAATTCATTTTTTTAATTAGTTTGCCCAATTTCACTAGTACAAATCCTCTATATCAAATATTGAATCAAACCACTACGGTGCATGTTTACTCGTTTAGAATGAGACGTATCATGAATGTATTAAAAGGTTGATTAATTAGGACTCTTGATATTCGATGGTCCCTTAAGTTTTCAAATCAAGCTAATATCCCTAGTAACTAAATGTTTGGAAGTTTAGCCACTTAATACTATGGTCTAGTAGTATTCCTTCTCACATGTAAGTGAGAAGTCTCAGGTTCGATTCTTACCAAACGCAAATTTGAATTACATTATTGGTAGTCCATTATGAGACTTAGCCTAACCCCCCCCTCCCCTTAGTATAGATAATATTGTTTGTTCAAAAAATGTTTAGAAGTTAAACAAAAAAAAATATGTTTGAAGTTCAAAACTCACAACTAAAACCCATCGAACTAATAAATCGAGTTTTAGGATCCAAATCTGAAACCCGAGTCCAGCAGAGATTAAGTTATGCTGATGCAAATTGCAATTTTGAAGTAAACCATTTACCACTTCGGTAAACAGTTCTTTATGTTATCTCTTCCAAATGCAGTCATCGTGAAACTATAAGCACATAAGAATAATACTTGCAATGAATCCGCAGGCAGTCTGATTCATTGTGTCAAAGAAGTATATGAGGTGAGTTGCCAGTATAACTCATTTCAATGGGTCATGATTACAAAACAGGGGAGCCAAGTGTACATAGTATGAAATGTTATTCAATCTCAATCTGTAGCGGGGCTTCTCCCGCTGGTTTTAACCCGTCAGCAACAATTTCTTCCACGGTGATTCCAGTGGCTTCCACAGTCCTTGAAACCCAATCCTTGAGTGGATCTTCATTCAAATCAAGCCTTAAAAGACCAGCGAACATCCCTCCCATGAAGGCAACTGGCTCCTACATGATGAGATAAGCAGAGAAAATCATGGTACTAATATTGTACCATTTACATACAAAACAATGTGCATTCTCATGGGAAATCCTCTATCTACTCGCACATACCATAAAAAACACAGTAGAAGCATAGAAGGCCGAACTAATGAGAGATACGGTCAATTAGTGACTCATATGTCATAAGAAACTGATCAAAGAGTTACTTTTTGTTTTACCAAAGCAAACATTGAAGTAGCATGCGATCTTGCTTTTAGAAGATACTGATACAATCCAAATACGGACCAGGCAAAATATAATGCAGTGATTTCATAAGTGGTCACATGAGATGGTGCAATGAAAGAGGAAATCGTCTTTCAAAAAGAGACATGAAGTGATTCAAAATTTTCACAAGGATGAAGCTAGGAATATAGAAGAGCAACTTTAGCTGTACAATAACATATCAAAGGTGGGTTCAACGGGTTTTTTTTCTTCTAAATTTAATTTTTATTGAGCAATAACGTAAAGGAAAAAACAAGAATCGATTGAGCAAAGCAAATAATAAGAATGAAATCTTGAGGCCCAGAAGGCTCATAGTAGATTCGGTATTATGAAAATGCAAGAATCAGTTGGCAAAAATCGAACCTCTCGGAAACCCTAAAACATCCTCACAAAATTATAGGAAAAATCAGCAAATAAAAGAAAACCATACAAACGCGTAGACCAAGATCCAAAGTATCAGATAAATCAACAACACATAGATTCCAAACATCATTCAACCAAATTACGCATGGGTAATCTATGAATTATTGAAAAAATGGGCGTTGGGTGTGGACTGAGGTAGTAGTAGGTGAAACAAGTACCTTAAGCGCTTCTCTGAGGATGGGTTCTTCGTTGGGATTGAAGAAAAACGCCTTAATCCCATTGCCGTTCCCCAAACACAATTTTCTGCGGCTGCTGCTTCTGGGAACCTGCTGCTTCGGTGATGTCGGTGGTTTAATAAACCCAGGGCCAGGCTTCTTCGATTTCCACTGTTACCCAATTGTCAATTACTCATCAAAATTGATTAGCAGATGAGTAAGAATAGGAAAAAGAAAAGTTCGGGCCGTCGGATTATTCGCTCACCAGTGCACACGAAGGAGAATTCACAATAAACACAGACATGTTGACTAACTTGAACTCCTGGTGCTCTCTTCTCGTGGTTGAGGGTTCTGGCTCGTATTCCCCACCGGTAGATGTTTGCCCCTCTCTCTCTCTCAGACTCTATTTTAAGGCCGTTTCGCTTCATACAAAACTCGGGGGTTGTGCACAATGGACATGGGTCCTCTTCGGATCCATGTATCATAATCCATCAAATCCATGCATTCAGATAGTTGAAATTTAATCTAACGATTAAAATTATTATAACTTTTAAAGTGACATTCTGTTTGTAACCGTTGGATCAAATTTCAACGATCCGAATACATGAATTTAATAAATTATGATACATAGATCCAAAGAGGACACATGTTTGTACACAATTACCCTGCCAAGTTACCGTAATGTAAATACGCAAGTACATTACGGTCCAGTAATTTTTCTGTTCTCTTAAGTGAGAGGTCCTGGTTTTATAAGTCCTAATGAATTTTGGAATTTGTTTCCTTTCTCCACCAAACCATGACAGGACCATTTAAAGATGGATGTACCAGCCCAACTTTAGCTCCCGGTTTGATCCGTTCTCATTGCTGACCCTACCACAAAGGGGATGCACAAGCCCATTTGTCTACAAATATTTTATTTTAACCACCTATGTTATTCTCTATTTGCAAGGGCTTGCAATTCAATGGGGGTTCACTTGTACCTTCGAGGTCATTTTGATTCCTTCTTCCACAAAATTAGTGGTATGAAACAAATTCTCGTTCATTTTCACACTGGTTCTCATGAGTTTGATTTCTATATTTAGGAAGCACACATATTGAAGTTGATTTTTACATCATAATTGTTAAGTAAAAGTTTAATAGAAGTAAATTTTGTCTAGTAATTGTGAGACTCATATAATTTTTAGTTGATGAACTAAAGTAGCAATTTAGCTAAAATTCAAAAACCAATTAATACTCCAATTTTCCTAAAAAGAAAAGGGAAATAACATAGGTGTGGGTGTGTGGTGAAAGACCACCCATAAAATAATGCAACGGTTAGGTGAGGAGATCCTTTACCAACCACCCCCACCCCAACACCCCCAGGGAAGTGCTCAACTTCAACTGCCGACTCCTTCAACCTCGTCTCCGCTTGCTTCTTTTTGATTAACGATTGAAAAAAAAGTTGTGAGTTGAGCAGATGTCTTTGCCTTCTTCCACTTCCATAGAACAACCACAACCCCGTGTCCATGATGTCGATGTCATCACCTGCAAAGGTATGTGTTATATGTTTGTTAATTTCTACACTAAAATCAAAATCAAATACGAAAATACTTACTCATGTGTTTTTATGTTTTGTGAAAATCCAAATCCAAATCCAAATCCAAATGAAAATGTAAAAGCAGCCGCGGTGGCATGGGGAGCTGGACAGCCTTTGGTGATAGAGCAAGTGAATGTGAGTCCACCTCAGCCAATGGAGATAAGGATCAAAGTTGTATGCACCTCTCTCTGTCGCAGCGACCTCTCTGCCTGGGAGTCTCAGGTATTTCTTCTTCTTTCTTATTCTTCAAATTTTTATTGACTGCTCGCAGTTATTTAAGTTCTGTTATTTTAATTGCAGACTATCTTTCCTCGGATATTTGGTCACGAAGCAACAGGGTAAGTTATTTCTCTATTTTCCTTTTCATCTACTTATATATTATTGTTGTTGTTGTTGTTGTTGTTGTTGTTGTTGCTGTATGATATGAATATGGTGATATTAGGTACTAACCTAACCAATAGCAATATTATTGCAGGATTGTCGAGAGTGTTGGCGAGGGGGTGACTGAATTTACTCAAGGGGACCATGTGCTAACAGTGTTCATTGGAGAATGCGGGAAATGCAGGCAATGTGCATCAGGTAAAACCAACATTTGTCAACTCCTGGGGCTCGAAAGGAGAGGATTAATGCACTGCGATCAGAGGACACGCTTCTCTATAAATGCCACTGGGGAACCCGTTTACCATTATTGTGCAGTTTCAAGTTTTAGTGAATATACTGTGGTGCACTCAGGATGTGCTGTCAAAATCAGCTCACTTGTGCCTCTGGAGAAAGTATGCCTTCTCAGTTGTGGAGTAGCTGCAGGTAGAGTTTCAAATCATGCTGATGTTGCCATGAGATCACACACACACACGCACACGAACACACACATGATATATGCACACACACACACACTTTATATATATATATATATATATATATATACACACATATATAGCTCGGAGGGTTTAAGGTTTAGTAGAGGAATGCAATTTCAGTATGATAGCCCTCACATGCCCCTACGTGTACATCTATGTAGCTGTATGTGTAATGGTCATGACAATTCTTGGTCCAGGAAAAATATTTCTCATATGTGTTATGTATGGATACAAATTTTCAGGCTTGGGTGCAGCTTGGAATGTTGCTGATATATCTGATGGATCAAGTGTGGTGATATTCGGTCTTGGGACAGTAGGCCTTTCCGTAAGTACAGCTTTGCCTTTACTGTTACAGTAGGCCTTTCAAAAATGACAGGAGCAGCAATGCAACATGTAATTCAAACCATAATTGTTTCTTGTGTGATAGGTTGCACAAGGTGCAAACCTTAGGGGAGCATCTCAAATAATTGGTGTTGATACTAATCCTGAAAAGGGTGAAAAAGGTAATATTTGGACAGATATGTTTTCTTCTATCTGACTCTGGAGTTATATGTTAAATAATGATGCTCTTACTGGTATACAGCCAAAGCTTTTGGAATTACAGAATTTATCAACCCAAATGACAGCAAAGAACCTATTCAACAGGTAATTCTGACTAAACCATAGATGGATCCCCCTCCCTCAATTTAAACTTATTATCAAAGTAATACATTGATAATAATTAAATAGTCAGCGTGACAGATGGTTGGAACTTGGTGGTAGATTGAATTGGGTGATTGGAATTCTACAGTAAGGAACGATAGTGGATCAACTTGCATTTCATTTGGCTTGAAACTTAAATGTGAGCTAACTTTCTTTCAGGTTATTAAGCATTTGACAGGCGGAGGAGCAGATTACTCATTTGAATGTATAGGTGACACTGGCATGGTAACTACTGCATTGCAGGCATGTCGTGATGTAAGTTTCTTATATGTCATGGTTTCCTTTTCTTTGTCAAGCATATCTCATTAATTTTGTGTATAAATTGATGAAGTTCTATTCATTCCACTTGGCCTCTCTTTTATCTGGCGTTTGCTTGAAGGGATGGGGTTTGACAGTTACACTTGGTGTGCCAAAAGTGAAGCCCGAAATAACAGCTCATTATGGAGCATTTCTTACTGGGAGAACATTGAAGGGATCGCTATTTGGAGGATGGAAACCTAAATCTGATCTCCCTTCCTTAGTAGAAATGTACACGAAAAAGGTAATTGAACTGACTAAAATTCCACTGAAGCTTCAAGAAAGAATATCATCTAATATGAAGTGTCCTTTTACCTTTCATTATGGTAGAATTCATTTTGTCCTCATGTAGTTGGGTAATCTACAGACCGTCTTTGGTCCTAGCATTCTGGTAGTTACCAGAAAATGCGACAGGGCATGCCTAACCAATAGAGCTCTTGTTAACACTTTAGCATGTCTTAGTTTGATAAATATCTAGTGTCTCAATGATTCAAGGATGATCATGAAAATATATCCTTTTATATTAGCAAATAGATAATAATATTGAAGCCTTTCGGTTTGGCCTTTTTTTTCTGTGCTAATTTTGCAAGTTTCAGAACTACATTCATGTCATGTGCAGTAATATTATATTAGTTCTCTTTTCTTATCAGCTTTTTCCTTCTTGTCCTGTTTGTCATGACCGATCGGCAGTCCTGATTCCTCTGGTTATGAAAAAGCTTTTGCTTGAAGAATTATGAATCAACAAAAAATACACGGAGCCTAATGATTTGAAATATATGTTTTGTTAACTTGAAAATGCAGGAAATCCAAGTTGATGAGTACATAACACATAACCTGCCATTTGAAGATGTGAACAAAGCTTTCAATCTCATGCTAGAAGGCAAGTGTTTGCGTTGTGTCATCCACATGGAAAACTAGTTTTCCCTTGTTTTGTCACCTTGGTCCTTGGTAGAACAAGAGCACAAATTGCCTTGCTACGTCCTACATGCGAGATTTGATTGTTCGATCCTTGTTGCGATCAAGTTTTATCTACTCGTGGAGGATTACTGTCCCTTCCCTCGGAAGTTGGAAGGCTAACTCGAGTAACTGTAACTGTAATTCCTTCCTCCCCCAGCTGGTTAAACATTATTGTAAACTGTTCACTGCTGCAATATTTACGGACATAAAGAACGCAATCAATATGCATGTATCCAATTGGTGTGACATAAAGACATTATTTATTTATTATCTTGGGTGTAAGAGTTGAGACGAAACTTAATCCACCAACCGTATTACTCGCTAATTACAGTGTTCATGCTCGAGAATCGGATTGGAGATTCTTTGATTTGTTGTCTGGCAATCAATGAATTGATCTTGTAGTTCAAGAAAAGACACAAAGTTGAATAATATATACACATGTGAAGTCTGCCTGCGTTGATAGATGATGTAGAACAAGATAGGAATCGATCAAAGTGGAGAATGTAGTTTCCTTTTCCTAGTTTATTAGAAATTTCTTTTATGCTTCTTTTATTTACTAGATTTACTACTACTAGTAGTAGAATTAGGTTTGATGCCTATGTAAATGCCCAGAATTGCTTCCTAAAATTCTCATTTTATGAATTTGTGAGGTCCTTTTTTATATGAGCCCTCATATTAATTTTATGTTAAATTAAGCTATCAATTTAAATAATTTTTGTTACACCGAAACACAATAATTCTACGAAGCAATTAAATTAAAAAAAAAATTCTCAAATTTCATATGAAAAAGGGTTCACGCAAGGAGGGGATCCTAATTTTCGAAACCACACAATCTCAATTTTTTTGGTGCTTTGTAAGTAACTAGGTTGAATATTATTCATAAAGATTGGATGTACAAAGTTATTATGGTTTTATGCAATTGAATTTGCTGTGTTTAGATATTTGAGGAGAAAACTAGGTTTTGTAAATAGAAGGAATTCGACATAACGTGAAACTTTTTTCTCTCTTCTTATTTTTTTTAATTTTTTGTTTTATCAATTAGTATTTTATTTCTGTGTAATCAGATTATTTCATATTATTATCAATCTAATTCACAGTTTTCTCTATTTTCTGGATGAATTCCAGAATAGTAATAGAGTGCATTTTTTCTTGTGAAATTTGACACTTGTCAGTCCTTATATCCGCGATACCGTTGCGCTGACTTTCAACAAACAAATTAACTACTACACCCTTGAATTTGTAACAGACAAGGAATGAAGGCAACCAACCAAGGAATTATTCTTATTTGAATGCTTATTAACTTTGATTAGCTGAACCACCATACATACATTATACACATTGGCGCTGTACGTGTAAATTGTGATATGTTGTCATTGTGAGTAGGTGAGGAGGGTGATCTGTGATCAGACATTTTTTCTCCCCAAAAAGTCGTAGGAATTATTTTTTAGGAAAGGCTGGAGGACCATACGCAAATATTAGGAAACCCACACTTATTTATATACATGGACCGGAAGCGTAGACGTGAAGAGTTGTATCCTCGGTGGCATTTTGTTTCGAAAGTTAATAATAGAGATGTCTGATCACCAGAGAGTTAGAGTTCATCCTGCTGGAGATGTGAAGGCACAACCAACAGCACTGCCGCCTGTGCCTCCGGTGGTGCCACTGCACGGACACGGTTCATCATCATCGAGTACAGAGAAAGAGAAGGAGAAAGCGACAGAGAAAATAAAGCTGCTTCAGACGAATAATCTCTCTGCTCCCTTACAATTACCAGTAGTAGGACGTACCATTAATCCGGTAATCCAAGCAAACCCACCAAAAAAGAGAAGCTCATGTACATGCTGCAGATGCATGTGGTGGACAATGGGCATCCTTCTCCTTGTATTGATCATAATAGGAGCCACCGCTGGCATACTTTATCTTATCTTCCACCCTAAACTTCCTAATTACTCGGTTGATAGCTTGAAGATCAGCGACTTAACGCTCAATTTGGACATGACCTTATATGCTAAATTTGACGTCAAAATAACAGCCAACAACCCAAACAAGAAGATCGGGATTTACTATGAGAAAGGTGGCCGGTTGAGCGTGTGGTATACAAACACGAGGCTTTGTCAAGGGATGCTACCGAAGTTTTACCAAGGTCATCAGAACAAAACACTACTCAATGTGGACTTGACAGGCCAAACGCAATACGGAAGCACTTTGATGAATGCACTGCAACAGCAACAACAAACCGGACGCATCCCCTTGGTTCTTAAGGTTAACGCACCAGTGGCAATTAAACTTGGAAAATTGAAGCTCAGGAAGGTGACCATCTTGGGGGAATGCTTGCTGGTGGTGGATAGTTTAAGTGCTAACAATTTGATTAGCATTAAAGCTAATAATTGTAGATTTAGAATGAAACTTTGAATTAATCTGGCAATAAATCTACAATTTCGGGGATATGGGAGCTGTTTATTTATTTGTTTTTTGTCTATTGCACTCTTCCTTATTCCGTTCTTTCTTTCCATATGTATTTCAATCAATGCAGCTACCTTTTACTCTTGATGTAAACATAGCAATTTTGTGTTGTGACAAAAAAAAAAAAACATAGCAATTGAGCTCGCACAAAGACAAAATCACAACACGTGATGCTAAAGATATAAGAGATTTTATATAAAATGGTATACAGATCTACATAGAGTGTCATCTACGTCATATCATGTATCCTACAATAGTTCTAAAAATATAACTACAAAGATCCAAGAACTCAGTGTATCACACAATCAGAACTTCAACTGACCTGCAGGATCAGTTTGTTCTGTAAGTGTTGATAGACGCAGAGAAAATAAAGGATGAGAATACTTTATATACTCATTTCAGATAAGTAAACATCCAACCTTATTCTAGGCCATTTTTTTCTATTGTAATTTTGGAAATTTTCAATCAGTAAAGCAGGATAGTGTAAAAGCAAAAAGATAACAAGAGTTCGCATCTACCAGGAAAAAGATTAGCAACTTTATCTTGAAATTATATGTTTATATTACTCACTAATCGTTATTATGCATGATTTAGAGAGACCATTTACTAGAACTACGTTTTGTAGACTATATGATGTGGCGCTCAATAGTTGGATTTTTTTAAATTATTAAATAAAAATTCAATCATCAACCGTCACATCATGTGATGTACAAAATATAGTCTAAAACATGATTCCCCTAGCATTTTTCTTTATATTAGGCGGAGAAGATCTTGATTTTTGTCAAGGTCGTATATTCTAAAAAGCTGCATATGAATTTATATTATTTCCCCGAAAAAAAAGACAACTCTTTCAGTACCAAATATATGGCAGGGTCACAATCAACAGTGTCGAGCCAATAGGAACCATAATTTCTCTAGTTTCTTCCCTAGGAAGTGAGAAATTACTTTCCAAATGATAAGTACTTTCTTTCCCAAGAAAGATAAAGTTCTACAGAAATTCCCATCAGTGTCTCGAAACAATCTTTCTAACTACGATTATGCAAACAAGGAAAGAAACTGAAACATCTACGAAAGAACTAGATCTCAATAATACATGATTTTGTAATTTTTGCTAGGTGATATCATCTGTAACTCCACGTTTCTGACCTATGGACACAATCAATTGAGCAAGTTTAGTCAGAGCAGTAGGAGATGAAAATATCTGCTTCACATACGAAGCTCCAATCCCGACAAGAACTCCAGATCACAAATAACAGGATATGCTTTTGTCTTACTTTCTGTGCTTTTGTAAGAATAGGATGAATTCAATAACCAGCAATGCACTCTTAATCATTTGAACAGGAAAGCAAAAGAGTCGCTGCATGGAAGAAACTGCACAATACTGTTAGGATAGAACAAGAATGAGATATATTCCTCAATGTTATTAATCTCGTTGTCAATGCGACCGCTCCGATCATCATTACAATTTAGAAACAATATTGCTATCTGATGCTTTTCGCCTAGAAAATTGCCTAATGAATTCGATCACAAAACTTTCATCATGAACAATATGACACAAAAAGGAACGAAGAACAAGGAGAGGAAGATCCTGAGATTACTCAAACTCCTTTAGTGCTTCGGCTCCAGCAACAATCTCCAATATCTCCCCTGTAATCTTTGCTTGCCGTTGCCGATTGTAAACATTTGAAAGAGTCTTCGTCAAGTCAACTGCATTGTCAGTGGCATTGCTCATAGCATTCATTCTCGCCGCGAGTTCACTTGCTGTTGATTCCTGCAATGCCCTCAAAATCTGACTGTTCAAGTAGAGAGGCATCATGGCATCAAGGATCTGAACAGGGTCTTGTTCAAATTCCATAACCGGCAAAAGCCCTTCCCTCTTTATCTTCACACTCTCCCTCTCCACACTCAGTTTACCTTCCTTAGTTGTCAGCCTAAAGAACTCATCCTCAATTGCATCAACACTATTCCCAGTCACATCAACAACCTCTCCCTTCGGAGACAATGGAAGCAATGTATGAATAACCGGCTCAGATTTCACCAACGACACAAATTTATTGTACACAAGTTCAACTTTATCAACCTCTTCGCTCACAAACAGCGAAAAAACATCATCAGCAATGACCTGAGCCTCTTTTGTTGTTGCAAATAAGCCACCTTCAATAAACTTATCAACACAAATCTCAGGCCTACGCATAAAATACGAGTTACCCTTTTTTCCAACACTGATCAGAGTGATATCTAACCCAAGTTTCTTCAATTCCGCGATTCGGGCCTCAGCCTTTTTTACCACCAAGTTGTTGAAGCCGCCGCAGAGGCCTCGATCAGCGGTGATCACAACAATGGCAACTTTCTTCACAGGCCTAACATTTGTGAGAGGGACATCAATGTCTTCACACTGAAGCCGCTCATTTATGTCGTACAGGACCTCCACAAGCGTCTCAGCAAAGGGTCGGCCATTGATGACTGCTTCCTGGGCCCTCCGAACCCTGGCAGCCGCCACGAGCTTCATGGCTTCGGTGATTTTCTGGGTATTTTTTATGGAATCAATTCGGACCCGGAGCTCACGCAGACCGCAGTGGATTGTTGAAGATTGAAAACGGAGAGGTTGGGGTGAGATTTGGGGCAAAAGGTGCTTAGGGTTTTGGAGAAATATGTTAGAAATTGGGAGTTTTGCAGAGACCCACAGGATTGAATTGGACACAGCCATTGGTTCTGGTTCTAGTTTTGCCGAGATTGAACAAATTCAAATCTCTGCAAAAACCTAATTGGATTGAAGCTTTATGAAAGCATCAAGATTGAAAATTTCTTGGGGAATTGTATCTTTGCAACAACTTTTTTGTTGGTGGAAATTTACTCCTGAGATTTGTGTAATAGAAGTCAATTTGATTGGGGTTGGCTTGAGATGGACTCTGGAGCCAAGCATATGTGTTGGATTCTCCGGCGAGGTAATCATTGAACCCGAATACAACGGAGCAGTATAGAACCGTTTGATTCCAGAACTAGATCATTGTTTAGGGTGTAGGACTCTACACTCTTAAGGGGACGTTTGTTGTGCCGGACTATCTCGGACTGGATTAGCTTCAAGGACTAAGCTAGACTGGCTTAGACTAGACTAAACTGGACTAGCTTAGTAAAGCGTTTGGTGCAGTATTGGACTAAGAAGCTGGATAATAACAAATTATAATATTATATTATTTAATATATAAATTATTAATATTTTATTATGATCTTATCTTTTTCTTCATTTTTTCCTACCATTTCCTTGTTAAATCAGATGAAGTTAGCACCGCCAAAAAATTCATCACCATCCTTGGACCAAGATCTTAGCTTTGAATGCTCAAATCTGTCATGGATTTGAAAAAGCCCAAACAGACCGAGACTTCCAGGCCATTTTCCAGTCACATTCGACCACATTTTGGCCTCGATTCAGGTAAAATCGTAATCTTATCACTCTCAACTTCAATTTGGTATATTTTGTATGAAAGTTGGTTGTGAAATGGATCTGAAAGAGAGTCAGAAAGTTAATAATTGATCTAGGTGACCGGAGATGACGAGGAGTTTGTCAAGAGTGGTCGTTGAGCATGACGAGGACGAGAAAGAGAGGATAGTCTTAGCTAGTCCCATGGTTATTGGGGGGTCTCGCTAAGACCTCTTAGTGAAGGGTTTTGTCATGCTAGTCCCCTTTAGTCTCATTAATGTTAGTCCCAGCATGGAACAAACACAATATTGGACTAATAGATAGTCTAGTCCAGTCCAGTCCAACTTAGTGAGGGCAAATAAACGCCCCCGAATCCTTTCCTCTCTCGTATATTACTTTTTGTTTTATTACCTCTATATAAAAAATTAATATAAAATATTGACGTGATTAATCGTGACCATTCAAATATGAGGGAATGGAAGAGTATAGAGATTAGGAGAGTAAAGAATCCTACTCTATTGTTTACAGGTGTGTATTGAGAATCTGAGAGATTTTAATTTCATTTAAAATTTTGATTCAATTTTCTCAAATTTTTTTGGATAGAAGAGATTTGTGAATGCTTAAAATATATTACAAAATCTCTCAAATTCCCTCAAATCCCTTAACTTTTTCAAACTCCTTAAAATCAAACTCTAATTGAATACATCCAATTTTAATAATTAATCTTAAAATCATGATTGAATACACATTGAATTTCAGATAATCCCTAAAATTCCTGATTGAATATCCTTAAATTCATAAAAGAATTAAAATCTTTCAAAATCTCAATTAAATACATAAGACTCATGTTTTCCAATGAATTTTGAGAATTTACTAGATTTATAACCTAAAATTTGAGTTATTCTACGCACACTACATGTTTAAAAATTTAATTTAGGACATTCTCAAGATTTTGACACCTACAAATCTTTTTGAGAGACCCACCACTAGTTTATATTACTTTTTCTATTTTTCAATTTTAAAAATCAATAAAAATATAGTTTCAAGTCCTAATAAACGTTAGGATCACATTCAAAGGTCTTGCAACATTTCCATTAACTCCCAAGAAAAATATTTCCCTTAAGTCCTGCTCATGAGTGCAAAAATGAGGCAAGCTCTATTCACAAAAATGAGGACATGCTTCGGGCACACAAAATGAGGTGGACTCTAAGCATGCAAAACGAGGCGAACCAAGGCGTATGGAAACGAGGAGAGCTTTGTGCATGGAAAACGAGGCGGGTTTTGTACACACAAAAAGAGTTGGGCTCTGCTCATAGAAAACGAGACGAGCTTGTGGTACACAAAACAAGTCGAGCTCGTAGCACGAACTTCCTGCACGTAGAACAAGGCGAAACCAGTCGCACAAAAAAGAGGAGTATTCCACTCGCGGAGACGAGGTAGGCTCTGCGCATGCAATATAAGGCGGGCTTGGCATACAAAACAAACGATGCGACGCACAGAAAACGAGACGGGTCATATGCATAAAAAACGAGATGGGTCGACCCATACAAAACGTTGTTGGCTCGGGCACACGGGTCAACCACTGCTGCTCACATGAAGCATTGGTACGAGGATAGAGCCTTATAAGCTGTTATCAATATGAGGTAGGATTTAGTTTAATCTCACAGGTCAACCTTTGTTGCCCGTACAAACAATTGTGTCGGGGGTAAGGTTTAGTTTTAATCTCATGTGTCATGTATAATTTGTTGTACGAACCATAGGTGTCGGGGGTATGGTATATATAGGGGTTAGGTTTAGTTTTAATCCCATGGGTCAACCATTTTTACTCATACGAATCATTGGTGTTGGGATGGTCATTTATAGGACTCTTATTAGGATTTTGTTTCAATCTTAAGGGTCAACCATGGTTGGTCGGACAAAACATTGTTTTCGGGGTAGGGGTATTTATAAGCCGTTATCAACCATGATAAAATTCACACTAAAATTGCAACTTTTAACATAGTAACCCATTCTTTAGAAAGAAAGAAAAAACATTTCTTTGCTTGCAGTGTGGTGAGGGGAAAAAATTCGAAGGCGTTGGGCTCTAAAACTTGCCAAACTCAGAGTGTTATTTTTACAACTCATTACTATTCACACCCGTAAACTCTAAACCTCATAGGCCTCCACTGCTTCTGTTGCGCCTTGGGCCTTCCTGAAGGCATGAGTTAGGGCTGTGTCTCCCTGCTCCTAACCATTAATTATATTTATTTTATGTTTTAATTTTCATTTTTGTTAAATTTTCCTTTTTTTTCCCCTACCACAACGCCAACCTATTATCTTTATGTTCTACAAAATGCATCTTCGGTGAAAATTTCTCTTATAATCCATGTCAAAAAGTTCATAGATAAGGATCTAAATCTAAATCCAAATAAAGTAATGTAGGAAGAAAAAAAAAAAACCTTCAATGAAAAAAAAAAGGAGAAAAAAATAGAAAATGATACAATCGGTACTTTGCTACCGGTTCTCATCAAGAAGGATCGCTCAAAAGTTAGCCATTACTCCATAAGATAAGTCGCTATCTTCCTACCGATCCGTCTCTTTTCGAATTTTTTTTCTTTTTCAATTTTTTTTGTTGTTAATTTTTCTTTTCTCTTACCAAAACAACAAACCATCATATTTATGTTCTTTAAAATTTATTTTTTTCTTGCAAAATTTATTATAATTCATATTAAATTTAAAGATATTTTTCTATTTTTCAACTTTAAAAATCTAAAAATATTTTTGGGACCTAATAACCGGTAGGATCACATCCAAATGTCTTGCAATATTTTCTTTAACTGTGACGTAAAATATTTCCTAAAGCCCAAAATTTCAATTTTTTCACAAAAAAAAGTGAGTTATAAGCCACAGTTTTCCAATCAATTTTGAGTACTTTTACAACTTCCGTTATAAGTCAAAGTTAAAGTCATTATATTCGCACCACATGTTTACTAAAATTAATTTAGGACATTCTCAAGATTTCGGACACCAACAATTTTCTTTGGGGCCCCGCTATTAGTTTTCATTATTTTTTTCAAAAACTTAAAAAATAAAGAAAAAATAGTTTTTGAACAAAATAAAGGATAAAATCACATGCAAAGGTCTTGCAACATTTTCGTTAAATCCCACTCTAAATATTTCCTAAAACTAAAAATTTCAAGTTTTTTACAAAAATTGTGATTTATAACCTACGTTTTCCAATCGATTTTGAGAACTTTTACAAGATTCATTATAAGCAAAAATTTGTGTCATTCTAGTCACACTACATGTTTTTTTAATTAATTTATGACATTCCAAAGATTTTCAACACCTACAAATCTATTTGGGAGCCTCGCTATTAGTTTATATTATTTTTCTATTTTGCAACTTTAAAAATCTTCGGGACCTAATAAACGGTAGGATTACGTCTAAAGGTCTTGCAATATTTTCCTTAACTCCTGACGCAAATATTTCCTAAAGTTAAAAAACCCACGGTTTTCCAATCGATTTTGAGAACTTTTACAATATTCGTTATAAGTAAAAGTTAAATGACACACCCCGACCCGGAATGTCCACTAAGAGCCCGAATCGAGCTATGCTGGCCGACATCAACAAGATGACGAAGCCATAAAGTGTGATAGTGTATAAAATGTGAATAAATTAAAACCTAAAAGTGCTTAAGCACACGAGTGCGCGATGAGCGGGTCTGGACCCATTTCACGCGTGATACAGAGCATAGGTAAAGTACAGTAAGGTAAGATAATGATTATACCATTATAAGAAAACATATATACTGAAAAGTGCCACGAATTCTCGTCAATACAGAATTCTGCTGCTAGAACCTGGAGGGGTGCAAAAATAGAAAATGTGAGTGAGCGAAAAAAAACTTTCCAAATCAATTTCAATTACCAAAGGCAGTAACCCCTCGCCGTAATACCTATATAATTTCCCAGAAGATAACAGGCGTGCCTATAATTCAAAACCATAACCAAAATAACAGTCTCACAGCTATGACGTGTCAAATATCTCAATAAAAATAAGTAAACCAGGTGAACTAAATCAATATGAAATGGTATGTCAGCCGGATCCACCTATTGTGACATGTACGGCTGAACCAATAACTCATCAACATGCTAGCTGGAGTCACCTCACATGACATGTACGGCTGACTTAATAACTCATCAACATACTAGCCAATAGCTCATCAACATGCTAGCCAATAGCTCAACAACATACTAGCCAATAGCTCATCAACCTGTTAGCCAATAGCTCAACAACATACTAGCTAATAGCTCATCAATATGCTAGCCAATAGCTCAATAAGATGCTAGCCAATAGCTCATCAACCTGCTAGCCAATAGCTCATCTACATGCTAACCAATAGCTCAATAATATGATAGCTAATAACTCATCAATATGCTAGCCAATAGCTCAATAAGATGCTAGCCAATAGCTCAATAACATGCTAGCCAATAGCTCATCTACATGCTAGCCAATAACTTAATAAGATGATAGCCAATAGCTTAATAAGATGCTAGCCAATGGCTTAATAAGTATACATGTACACGAGTCGAAACCACCTAAAGTAGTCTA